ACGTGCTGTTTTTTCTGCCAGGAACTTCCATCTTCTCTCTCTTCACCTGCCTACTTCGCTGTAATCTTTCTCAGCTTCAATATCACTTCCTTCTGGCACCTAGCTGGTTCAGACGGTAGAGCATGCAACTCTTGATCTTGGTGTCATGAGTGTGTGTGTGTGTGTGTGTGTTTATATTATATATTTATATAAATATTCATTTTATATATATATTTAAAGGGGCACCTGGCTGGCTCAGTCAGTGGAGCATGTGATTCTTGATCTCCAGGTCATAAGTTTGAGCCCCACGTTGGGTGTAGAGATTACTTGAAAAAAAAAAATACAAATCAAAAATAACATCACTTCCTTCCGGATCCCTCCTCGCCTACCCAGGCCAAGGGAGTCCAAGGCAGTCTTCAGTAGTTTCTTCAGTCATAGCCCTAAGCATGCCACATGACATGACCTGCTCTGAGTTCCAGGGACCAAAGACTGTTACCTGTTCTTCACTGCATTCCCCAGCACCCAGCACTTAGCACATGCTCAATAAATACCATGTTCTTTATAGGAATAACTGAACGGAGTGGCATCTGGTTATGAGGAGGAAGTTCCTAACCGTCAAGGTTGAAAAATCACGGGAATGGGAAGCCTCCGGAGATAATGAGCTCCCTGTTACTGACCGTATGCAACCAGGAATTTTAATGACCATCTCTCAGGGTGGCTGTAGGGAGATATTATAGGATAGTGGAGAATACAAGACTTCAGGAGGTCTAGTTCTGGTCCTATTTGTATGGCCCAAGGTAGGTCCCTTCCCCTCACTGAGCTTCAGACTTCCCATCTGTAAAACAGAAGTACCAGACCAGATTTCTGACAACCCGTAGTTTTATGAACACCTGCTTTGTGTTTTTGAACACCTACCCAGATTTGTGAGACCTATGCCAAAATACAAGTTGATATTCTTCGGTGTTCAGTGAATGAGTGAGTGTTGAATGAATTAAGGAATGAAGTGTGTCTCTTTTTGCCCCCACACCCTACTGCTAAGCTGAATGAAGAGTAGCTAGATTCTTGAAATTACATGGACTTGGCCATGAATCCCAGCTCCCATATTTCCTAGCTCTGGATTTTGAGAAAGTCAATTTGCCTCTTCATCCTGAAAATGGACCATTATTATCCAGTAACAGCCCCTCCCCCAAGATGTGAGTGTGAGATGTGACCCCATGTAAAATGCCTAAAACAGGATGTAGGTCACAGCAGAACCTCTGCACATAGTGGAGTGTGTTTCCCATTCAAAGCTACTTCCCCCCCCCCCCAACTTCTCTCTCCTGTGCCGTTCAAAAAGGGTAGGAAGGACTGTCAGAGAGATTTTATTTGTTCGATTGTATAACCAAGAATATCTGCCTTGCTAGAGACTGATAGCAAGGCCTTTTGACAGGAAGTGACAATAAATTCTTCCTGACCCACTGCTGCCCTCCCAGTAAAAGATAAAACACAGCCAGCCCTTCAGAGAAGCTGCTGAGATTACCAGGCCTTCTGTGTGGGGAAAGAACAGAATGAGGAACTCAGGAAAGGTAGGCTACAAGGCCCCACACTCAGAAACCTCTGGCAAGCTGTGTGACTTTGGGCAAATAGCTCTGCCTTTCTGGATCTCATTTCCCCGTTTGCTACTTCCTATGTGTGAGGTTCAAATGAGATCATAAGAACGTGTGAAGACTGTAGAAACAATAATCACTATGTAACTGATCAGTGTGTCAGCCCCTGGTCTGCGCCAGGCACTGGATCAGGGTCCTTACAAGGACTGCAAAATTAGTACTAGTTTTAATTGTTCCTGTTTCACACAGGAAAAAAACCTAGGCTCTAGGGTCGAAGTCAGACTCCAACTTAGATAACGTGTCTTCCCTTGGCCTCAATTTTTTCACCGGCGAGATGGGCTTCCCACTGTGGCATGACTTTGGAAAGTTAGAGTGCTGGATGGAGATTGCGGGATAGATTGGGGGCAGCCGGGACAGACTGGGTCTTCGCGACGGCTGGCAGGATTCACGGGGGGGAGAGAGCCCCTGCGGATTGGGTACAATCCCGCAGGACGCTGGGGTTCGCCCAGGCCTACCCAGGATTCCCAAGTCCCTCCCGGAGCGAAAAGCCCGGGATTCCCGGGAGGCTCCGGGGAGCGGGCGGGGCCGGGGGCGGGGCGGCGGCAGGAAGCGGCCGGAGCTGCGCTGGGAGCGGCCTGGGCCCGGCGAAGCCCGGCCGGCCTCGGTAAGCTGCCGGGGCTGCACCCCGGACGCTGGGGAACCGCGCGCCCCTGAGCGCACCGCGGGGCGCGGGAGGGAGAGCCGCGCTAGCGGGCGAAAGAGGCGAGGGGAGGGTCCTGGCCTCTCCCGGGAAGAGCGCGGCCCTAGGTTGCGCGGAGGGGGCGGGGGGCGACGCTAGGCGACGCGCGGGGCTCGCAGGGCCCCCCCAACGGGCTGGGGCGGGGCCTCCGCGGCGCCCCTCCCTCCGCCGCCTGGGCCCCGCCCCTCCTCCCCGCGCGGGGCCCCGGGTCTCCCTCCCGCCCCCGCCCAGGACCCAAAGTCGCGCACTCCCCCCAGGGTGCCATGGCCTCGCGGCTCCTGCACCGGCTGCGGCACGCCTTGGCCGGCGACAACCCGGGGGAGGCGGCGACCGGCCCGGAGGCCGAGCAGTTCCCGGAGAGCTCGGAGCTGGAGGACGACGACGCCGAGGGCCTGTCCTCCCGCCTCAGCGGCACCCTCAGCTTCACCAGCGCCGAGGACGAAGAGGACGACGACGAGGAGGACGACGGGGAGGTTGGCCCCGACCCGCTGCCCTCTGGGGACGGGGCGTCGGGAGAAGATGCAGGCGAGTTCCCGAAGACAGAGGCGGGAACCCTGGGGCTCGATTAGGGCTCCACCCCAGCCCTGTTCCCCAGCCATCTCTTGGCTGTGTGACCTTGAGAGAGTCACAACACCTCTCTGAGCCAAGTTTTCCCTCGTGTCAAATGGGGGAAATCACTCCCAACTCGGGGTTGCTGGGGGCATTAAATTTACAGGGTCTGGGATACAAATCGTAATAATGTGCTGGCGATGTTTTGCGGGGGGAATATTTATTTAGAGCCTACTGTCTGCCAGACACGGTGTTTGGCACTTGGCCCCTCTCTGGCCCTGTTTCCATTTATGTCGAATGGAAATAAAGCCTGTCTCAGCTGTTGGGAGGATGAGTGAGGTCACCACACGTGATTTATGTCCACCTTAGCCCCAGGCCCATTGATGTGACTGGTCGTGTCCCCATGCAGATCGGAGCCTCCCACCTGATGGACAGCGAGGCAGTCAGCCCCTGGCAAGGCAGTTGCAGGATTTCTGGAAGAAGTCCCGGAACACTCTGGTGCCCCAGCGGCTGCTCTTCGAGGTGACCAGCGCCAACGTGGTCAAGGACCCACCCTCCAAGTACGTGGTGAGTGAGGGTCCAGGAACCTCTGCGCTGTGAGTCTGGAAGTCTGGCTAAGAGAAAGGGAAGATTCCCAACTTCCTTGGGCTGGCCGGGGGAGGGGGGGGGGCGTGGTGTCTAGCTGTATAGTTATAAACGGTCAGTGTATTTTAGGAATGGGGAAACTGAGGTCAGAAAGGGGATGTAATTTGTTCAGGTCCTTAGGCAAATGACTTAGCTTTCTGAGGGATTATGGACCTGCCCCCCACCCTGGTTTTGAGACTAAAAGAACTGATGTGTGGGCCCCACCCCCCAGGTTTTGCAAACTGTAGCAAAATATAAGATATACAGGAAAGAATAATATCTGGGTCAGACCTGAGACCCAAGTTGCATTTGTTAGTGGTTAAAAAAAATGGGTTTTGGATCCAGACCCCACTTATTACCAGCTGTTTCACCTTGGGTGAGTTGTAGACCTTGATGACCCTATTTCCTCATCCGAGCAGTGGGAATAATGCAGAGGATTGTTACAGAAATGAAATGAGACAGCGCACAGGGAGCCCTCAGCACTGTGCCTGGCATTATGAAGTGCTTGATAAAAGTCTCTTATTAGGACTTAACTTTGGCTTGAAAATGTCTGGCATCTAGGGCCTGTTGTGGCCTCCTTACAGCCCAGGTGAATCAGTCCCCAGGCACCAACACTGTACACAATAATCTTGTTCTGAGGGTTAGATTTAGGGGGTAGGGAAGGCCTTGGAGTCTGGTTTTCCTTGCCTGTGGAAAGGACAAACTGACATGGGAGAATGAGGTCTGCCAGGTCCTGAAACCCAGCCTGACTTGGCCAGTCCTGGCCGACTCAGACTTCCCTCCTCAACACCCTCCTCCATTTCTGACTCAGCAGGAAAGGGGCCTGGAGCCCTGTCCCACATCTGGGCCTCTCCATTCCTTTCTGCTGCTGTTAGTAAACAAGGGCCACGCCCATGGGGTGACTGCTCCAATTTGAGCAGGGATTGACTCTGATGATCTAGTCTTAAGGGGCAAAAGTCCCAGGCCTCACGCACCAGCAAAGGGACCCCGAGGAACAGCCGGGCAGCAGGGAAATTTGGGATGATTCTGAGAATGACAGGATAGAGCAGGATGGCCAGATATGCCCTGGCCCATGTCTGGGGAGACAGGTCCCCTCCTCTGTCCAAAGGGGACCCTAAATCCTGATTTAACTTTTCCCATTGGGGTTGAAAGCCCAGGCTGTGGAATTAGGTGGGCCTGGGTTTGAATCCCAGCTGGACCACTTACAGGGAAGTCTTTGAGCCCTTTGCTTCCCGTGGAGCCTGCTTCCTCGTCCGTCCGAGTCAGGGACTCCCTCCTCACTGTGCTCCATAGTGAAGTGCCCAGCACAGCATGTCGTAGCAGGGGCAGGTGCTAAGTTCATGGAGCTCCTGTCATTATTACCCATGAGATAATGGATGTAAAACGTGTCCTTTTTGCCAAAAATTTAAAAATAAAAGTAAAAGCTACATGAATATAAGGGGTCATTTTAGACAATGCTTCCTGAAGTGTATTTTGCAGGAAACTGGTTTCCTGGAATGCTGATAACCGTTCCTTTAAAAAAAAAAAAAAAAAAAAAAAAAAAGGTCTTGCAGCCAGTAAGTTTGGGGAATGCAGAACTGAACGGGAGTAAAATAAACTTCTTTAAGGTTAAATAGTGTTAACATACACTGAATCTTTGAGAGAAGTATAGACTAGACCAGAGGTGGCTAGAATATTGGCAGTTTCACAGAACAAATTCAAGAGAAAAGTCTGGGTTGGGTGTTAGTGTGTCTTCAACATCTCATGCTTAACTAATCCCCCTTTTTAAACCTGGTGGGTCAGCATTATTACAGATTAATCCGTATTCAGGTGGTCAGACCTAGGGGCAGCTTCATGGTCATCTTGATCAGCGTTTCTCAAACATCAGTCATTCCAGTACCACCTTCATGATTCTCGTCCTAGCTAAATGCTATTCGTACCATTCCCTGCTTAACATTTTTCTTTAAGTAAACCCATTTTTTTCCGTAAATAAGTTCAAAAGACTTCAAAGCAGTACTGTAGCTGGAAAGCCTTGCTTGCCATACGGTAAAAATACAATAAAAGCAGTCATTAAAACCCTGCATGAATGCTGTTGCCTGAAGGCCCTGACCTGAGATTTGCTTTCTAGGTCTTTTCTGAAAGTGGAGATGAGAAGCATGGGAGAAGTGCGTTTTAAAAACCAAACTGAGAGAGCTTCTCATCTGTAGTCAGGATTCAAAGAGAATTGGGGGGGGGGTTCACTTCCTGTCTGCTTCAGTGTTATTTACTCCAGCACATACCACCTAGAATCTCAGGACCAATATTTACTTACACGCATCCCACCTGTGAGTGGACACTGACCTAGGCCCCCACTTCGAGGAAAGCAGACCCAGGGGGGGCCTGCCTTGCCTGACGACACGCCGCGAGGAAGTAGGGGACTGGGGGGTTAGGACCTGTGTCCCGATGCCCTCTTCAAAGTGATCGCTATTGGTCTATCTGAAGACCTCTCCTCCAGGTCTGCTTTGGAATAACCTGGCTAAGAATGTGGGGGTTCTGTGTCCAGAGCAGAACAAAGTCCAAGCTGGTCTTGAAGGTTGGTTCAGAGGCCCAAGAGATCGGCCTGGGTTTCAGCTCCCAGCTGGTTTACCAGAGGGGCTGTCAGAAGAGGTAACTGCCCTATGGGAAGGGAGTGCTCCCTGGAAGGGGCAAAAGGGGTGGCAGCTCCAGGCACTGAAGCTCATCTCTGTCTTTCTCTCCCCGTGCTGCCTTGGGCCTGGGTCATTTCAGACGAGCCTCAGGTAAGATGGGACTGGGCTCCCTGGCTGCCGCCCCAGCAGCTCCCACCCTCCTGGGCCCAGTCTCAGGGGCAAAGGGAAGAAGTGGGGGAACACAGCTTGAGGTGTGGGTGTGGGGAGGGAAGGGGCGCACGGACAACTCACACCTGCCCTGACCCCACCCTCCCTACAGCTCTACACCCTCGCCGTGATGGGTCCAGGGCCACCTGATCGCCAGCCAGCCCACATCTCTCGCCGCTACTCGGACTTTGAGCGGCTGCACCGAAACCTGCAGCGACAGTTCCGGGGCCCCATGGCCGCCATCTCATTCCCCCGGAAGCGCCTGCGCCGGAATTTTACAGCAGAGACCATCGCCCGCCGCAGCCGGGCCTTCGAGCAGTTTCTGAGCCACCTGCAGGCAGTGCCTGAGTTGCGCCTTGCCCCGGACCTGCAGGACTTCTTCGTGCTGCCCGAGCTGCGGCGGGCCCAGAGCCTCACCTGCACCGGCCTCTATCATGAGGCTCTGGCGCTCTGGGCCAACGCCTGGCAGCTGCAGACCCGGCTAGGCACCCCCTTGGGCCCAGACCGCCCTCTGCTGACCCTGGCTGGGCTGGCTGTGTGCCACCAGGAGCTGGAGGATCCTGGGGAGGCCCGCGCGTGCTGTGAGAGGGCCTTGCAACTGCTGGGGGACAAGAAGCCCCACCCTCTGTTGGCACCCTTTCTGGAGGCCCACGTCCGGCTCTCCTGGCGCCTGGGCCTGGACAAACGCCAATCAGAGGCCCGGCTCCAGGCCCTGCAGGAGGCAGGCCTGACCCCCACACCACCCCCCAGTCTCAAAGAATTGCTCATCAAGGAGGTACTGGACTGACTTTGCCTAGACTTCAGGCCACTGTGGGGAGAGACACCGTCCCAGGATGGAGGGTGGGGGTGAGTAAGGAGGACAGGAATAGCAGTTGGGAAGCTGTAGGGGGTGCTGGGAACCCCTAGAAGCCCTACGAAGAATTTGTAGCACACCAAGGAACCATGTTCCTTCTGTCGAGCTGGGCTCAGGACAAGCTTTGGCCGGGGTTGCCCTGGGGTGGTGTAGGGAGCAAGTCTGATGCAGCCTGTCCAGCTCACGAGTGTCTGGGGACCATGCTCCAGTGTAGGTCGGCGTTACCTCTTCCTTGGCCAGACGGCCAAGGACTCTTCCCCTGGAGTCCTGGAGTACAGCTGCCATCTGGCCCAGGGGAATTAAAGGCCAGCAGCTCCAGTGGTATTAGTCTCTTTATTGGGTTTGGGGACAGAAGGCCCAGCCCTCGATTGTACGGAGTTGGTGGGGAGAAGGGTGATCCTTGAAGACCCAGGCCAAGCTGGTCCCTCTGGCTACAGCTTGCTCTCTGAGGCCCAGGGCTTCACTCGGATCACGCCCTCCTGGGCACAGGACACAGCCAGGACGCCGTCCCGACGCCATAGTCGCCCTTGGACCAGCCCCCGGGAGCCACCTGTGGGTGAGGGGAAGGGTGAAAACAGCCTTCCCCTTCACCAAACGTGCTTCTTGAAAAGGGTGCAACCGGTCTGGCTGCCCCATACAAGGGCACATCGAGTGTTGTGGCTTCTCCCAGTCTGTAAGTGCCGTTTGATGAGCCTATTAGGAATGGTCCCTGGGGGTAATTCCTGAGGGAACCCCACTTGACAGTTTAAAAGCACTTTCACATATCCACTGGCTTCCTCAAAAAGCTCACAGCGGGGAGAATTCTGAGGGCAGTCTCAGGTCAGTAGCTTGGCTAAGCAGATCCACCCCCACTCTGGCCACTTGTGGTAGGAAACCCGGCAGTTCCCTTTCTAACGAATCAAACCGGGTCCTCCAGGGCGGTATTTCACACCAAAAAAACCCCCATCCTCACCCCTACCAGGAAAAATGGGGTGAGGGGGTACCTGGGACCATCACATCTGGCCACCCTCCCTCCCCGCCTGCAGACTCCCTTGCTAGCCTTGGGCCTGAGTGGAAGGTTCTGGAGGGAGCTGCTGGTCTCCCTTACACAGAGTAGAGCTCACTTAGTTCTCATAGTAGCCAAGTGAAGCAGGCCTCGGCCCATTTTTCAGATGAAGACACTGAAGTCCAGGGAGCCTCAGGCACTCAGCCATAAGGAGCTGGCCAAAGCAGGTGTCCTAACTGCAAGGCCGCTGATCTGTGTTGCAACACTTCTGGTGCTGCAGAGTCCCCCTTCCCTGAAGAGAGGATCCCTTAAGTTTTGTCCCTGTTTGATAGAGCAAGGCCTTCATCTGAAGTGTGCTTCCCCAGAAAGGAGCCCAGGGCTCTGAGACTAGACAGTGCTGAACGCGTCTGGGCTTCCCTGCACACCACGAGGGTCCAAGTAGCGGAGCCCTTAGAGACTACGGAGGGTCCTGACCCCCAACCAGGTTGGGTAATCCACACCATCACTCAGGGAGCTGCTTAAAAATAATAGTTTCCTGGATTTCATCCAAGACCTGTGAGTCAAAATTTTGGGTGTGGAATCTGAGTATCTATTTTGAAAAAACTCCCCCAACTGGCAGTATGACATGCCACCACTTTCAGCTACCACTGCTCTCATGCGACCCTATTTGTTTAGATGGGGAAATTGAGGCTCAGGAACTGAGACTGGCCCAGGATCACACAGAGAATCTGAAGTGCTTCCGGGCCTAGAACTGATCTCTGACACTCCCTGCATGCTACAGAAATTCAGCTGAGCAGGTGTCCCCTCTTGAGCCTCACGCTGTTATTTTGAAGACAGAAATGCCAGAGCTGGGACGCCTGGGTGGCTCAGTTGGTTAAGCGACTGCCTTCGGCTCAGGTCATGATCCTGGCGTCCCAGGATTGAGTCCTGCATCAGGCTCCCTGCTCAGTGGGGAGTCTGCTTCTCCCTCTGACCCTACCCCCTCTCATGCTCTCTCTCACTCACTCTCTCCCTCAAATAATAAAAAAAAAATCTTAAAAAAAAAAAAATGTCAGAGCCTGGGGGTGGGCAGGAGAGGAAGTGTCAGGCAGTGCCCCACAGGATCACCCGAGAAAGCAGGCTTCCTGCCCACCGCGCCCCCCCAGCCCCCTTGTCCCACGTGGCCCCGGACTCACCAGCCCAGGGGCTCTCACACTCATAGAGCATCCAGTGGTCAGCTCGGAAAGGGGTGTGGAACCACATGGAGTGGTCCAGAGAGACCATGAAGTGCACCTTGTGCTGCGACTGGTGGGGCAGCACTGCCGTGCCCAGGAAGGCGTAGTCCGAGATGTAGGCAGCCACGCAGCAGTGCATCTTCATGTCGCCCTCCCCTGCAACGTGTGGGGGCCCGGTCAGCCCTGGGCTGCTGGGCTATATAGCTCAGGACCTGCAGGGAGGTGGGCAGAGAGGGGCTGCCATGCACAGATGCATAGAGTGCTCACTGCATAAGGGCACTGGCCCAAGGTTGTGTGTGTGTGTCACGTGTGTGTGTGACAGGTGACAAAGGAGGCAGGGATGGGCAGAGGGCAGGGCTAAGTGAGGTCTGAAATCCAGTCTTCACTCCCTAAGTCTCCCACACTGAGCCCTCTGAGGGGTGCAGCTTGCACACAGGCCATGTGGTTAGCAGGGGTCCTGGAGGAGAATCTCTGCAAGGTGCCTTGCCTTCCCCAGAAAGGGCCTCCACTGGGATTATCGTAGTCACCTCCCCCTTATCCCCACGCTGGCGGTGGACAGGGTCCCGGTGAGAAGCTACTTCCCCATCATGCCGACAAGGAAACAGCAGGCCCAGAGGGGAAGTAACATGCCCAGTGCCACAAAGGGCATGTAAGGTCCAGGCCTAGCCCCTGGAAGAGTGTTTTTCTCCAGTCCTTGGGGTCCTCTTACCAATATGGCCCCGGGCTCGCACCCAGAACATCTGTTTGGGGTCCATGCTCTGCAGCTGGCTCAGGGTAGGTGGCTTAACCGGCTTAATCTCAATGGGCACCTCCTTGGCAGCAATTCGGTTCAGTCCCACTCGGTACTTCTCTTGGAGGTTGGGGTCCCTGAAAATAAAGGGGAAAGGGAGAGCCTCTCTGAGCTGCCTCTGTGACCCCCCTCATTCCTCCATGGGGACTCCTGACTTTTCCCCACCGCTCCCCTCCCGTCTGACAGGCAGAAGAGCATAGTGTCTGAATGCTTTCTCTGCCACTTAGGAGCCCTGTGACCTTGTGCACGTTAGTAACCTCACCGAGCCTCTCTTCCCATCTGCAAAATGGAGACAATGACAGCAGCTTACCTCCTAACGCTTCGGAGTAGCAAGGCAGACCCTATCAGAGGGTCCCTTCTAAGCATTTCACATACACTACCTCATCATGACAACCCTGTGAGGTAACGCTATCATCACCCCCTCTGATAACTGACCTGAAATAAGGAGCGGGAGTTCAAGGAGCTTGCTCAGGAAGTGGAGAAGGCAGGATGTGGACCCTGGCAGTCTGGGTCCATGGTTCAGGCTTTTATCCACTTCGCTATTCTCAACTTTCAGGAAGCAGGCTGCGCAACTGGGACCAACCTACCTAACCCTAAGCAATTAGGAAGACCGTGTTCCGGGGGAGAGTGGGGAGCCCATCTCCAGGGAAGCCCCTCCACCCTGGTAACAGCCACCCCGAGTGCTCTTCACCAGGGTTTCCATTTTCAGCCCCACCCTCTAAGGCACCATCCCCCAGACCTTACGTGACAGTGGGAAGGTTCTGGACCTGCACTGCCCATTCCGCTAGCCGCTAGCCCCATGTGGCTACTGAGTGCTTGGAGTGTGGCTAGTGTGACGACAGAATTGTTCATTCTATTTAACGTTACCTTAATAGAGCCACCTGTGGCTAGTGGCCTCCTAGGTGGACAGCACAGCTCTCTTATTTAGGGACCTTTAAGACCAACGTCCACCTTTCCTTTCAGCGAACATTTGTGAGCTCTGACAGACCACGCTCTGTGCTTACTCCTCTCTGTCGGTAGTGGTTAACTACAATTCACGAGCTGTCACAAAGTGACTTATTATCTCTGACCTCATTTAATCCTCCTACGGCTTTATGAGGTAGGAATTATGATTAACCCCCACTGTGAGCAGAGGCTGAGTGGGAAAGCAACTTGCGCAAACTCACACAGCTAGCAGAAACAAGAGTCTACATTTGAACGCGGACCTTTACCGAAAGATCAAACCCGTATCCATCCCTTCAGTACTCTGCTGCCTCCCCTGCATGCAGCACAGGACAGGGGAGCTCTCCTTAGGATTCAGCTGTGAAGGAGGCAGAACAGACATGACCACTCCCAATTTTTAGACGAGGCAGAACTCTGAGAAGCTGGGGAGTCGGGCCAAGTCACACAGCAGGGGAACACTAACAGAGGCACAGACCTGGCCAGAATCCTTGTTCTGTCCTGTGTCGGGACCCAGAGCTCTTTCCCCTGCCCCAGCATGTTCTCAACTTTATTAGCTGTGATCCAAAAGAAATGCATTTCACCAGGTGATACTCAAAATATTGAACACACACTAAGGCAAAGGCAACAGGGACCGTCACCCCTGCCAGGCATTACCTCCTAGGCTGCTGGGTCATGAGTGATCCGAAAGGAGAGGGATCACTCAGGGACCGGAGAGATATGTACCAAGTGATCACAGAAGTGTTTCCATGTTTCAACAGTCAGTAAAGCTGTAACAGTACCTGAACCGGCCGAATCAGAAGCTCAGCCTTTACATCATGACTGAACACGCTCACCGGTGCGCACAGGTACACACACCACAAATAATCGACACGCAGGATCCACAAGAGGGGCCTTACCCTTACTACACACAGTACGCCCCGATAGCCGTATTTTTTTAAATGCTGGTCAAGACCCACTAAAGGATTCCGTGACCCACTCCCAGGTGACAACTGCAGGTGTCCTGGAGCCTCCAGCTCTCTCACCTTAAATACTGGTCGATGAGGGCCTCGTGGTCCAGCAGCTCTTCGGGTGGGGGCACGCTGGGCATGGAGAACTGGTGCTGCACGGGGCTGGGCTGGGCCTTCTGGAAGGAGGCCTGGCAGATGAAGATGGGCTTGCCATGCTGCACGGCCTTCACGGAGCGCACCGAGAAGCTCGTCCCCGTCCGCGTCCGCTCCACCTGGTACAGCACTGGCACCTTGAGGTCCCCTGCGGCAGGCACAAGTGACATGGTGAGTCCAAGTGAGCCCCGTGTGAGCAGTTGTCATCACCACGGCTGGACAGGCACCTCCACTACTCGTTCTCTGTTCTGCTCGGTAGCCCCTGACTGAGGCCTGCCACGGCCCCGGGACCAGGGATGCAGCGAGAATACCAGAGCCTGTCCTTTCTCGCCACAGCACAGAGCAGGGGGACATTCCCTGCATCCAAATCCTGGCCTGGCCACCTCTCACTAGCTGTGTGGCCTTGGGAAAATCTCTGAGCAGTTTACCCATCTGTAAAATAGGGATCATTAGTGCTTAGACCTCTCAGGATGTTAAGGAGAATTCAATTAGTCATAGTTTAAAGTGTTTAGAGTAACATCCAGCATGCAGTAAGTGCCCCATGTGTTTGTTAAAGAAAATAATCCCAGCTTTTGTCTGGTTTCATCTGTGACTGGGATCTTGTCATGAGTCTAGTACTAATCTTCTAGATCAGAGGTCCACAACTCTGGCCTGCACCTTTTTGTTTGTTTTAGAACAAGCAAAAGCTATTTATTCAGAGTTTAGTATAGCAAGGGAGTCAGTCACCGTCACTTATGTTTGGCAGAAACTCAAAGGCAGGCAGAGGAGCAGGAAAGCATTACCGTGAAACAAGATCGAGTATGTGCCATGACAGGAAGCTGCTGCCATGGGGAGAAGCAGGGAAGCTAACTAGAGGCAGGGCAGCCTCTGTAATTGGGTAGGTGTGCATATTTGGCTTTCTCTGGTTGGTCCTAAGTTGGAAGAGGGGACAAAAGTTAGGGAAGCTATTAGCTATTAATCAAGTCTCTGGTGTTTGGGCTGACTGTTAACAGGAGCTATGGTTCGGCTTCCCGGACTGGTTGCTAGAGATGGTGACCTGACTTCCTCCCTGAGGTCTGACCTGTAGACAGCAGGCTGGCTTCCTAGGCTGCTTGCTGCCAACTGTGGATCAGAGTTCTTCTTCTTCTTCTTTTTTTTTTTTTAAGATTTATTTATTTTGTTGGGGAGGAAGCAGGGGAGAGGTCTTCAAGTAGACTCCCCCGAGTGCAGAGCCCGACGCGGGGCTTGATCTCACAACCCATGAGATCATGACCTGAGCCAAAACCAACTCAGACACACAACTGACTGAGCCACACAGACAGCCCAGAGTTCTATTTTTATATGTGGTCTGGCCATTATGTGTTTGACTGTTCGTTCTCTCAGGAAAAGCCTGCTGTCAGTCAGTCACTTCATCCTAGATGCAAACAACTGTCACTTGGCCCTTCTCTTTTGGATGTCTGCATCCCCAAGGTAGGATGGAATAGGCCTGTGTTTAGACCTATTAGCTAGCCCTCAACAAGTCAGTCAGGAGGGTTTTTAGGAGGAGAGAGTCTCCTTGGTATCCCTGAAGTCCTTCAGTGTCTCTCTGATTCAGGCAGATGTCGGAGAACTCTGACACCCTGGCAGTGAGACATCTTGGGGATGATTTTCAATATTCAGATCAAAGAAGCTGGTCTCAAAAAGTGTTGCTTCCTCCACCATCATCCAAATGGGGAGCCAACCAGGCACCGGAGGCTCATTCAACAGCAAAAACTATCACCATCCAGAGCTGGCTGGTTTGCTCAGCAATCTGCTGGCCAGCATTGCCAAAGGGGCATTTTTATCAGAATGGGAGCTCAAGGTTGAAGGCCTTTAGGAAGGGCTTCCCAAGAGTCCAGATCCTGGAAATAGTTAACATGTGCAATCTGATTTCAGGGGCTGGAAAGGAACCCTCCTCTCCCTCCCAACAAACTTAAAAAAGGAAAAAAAAAAAAAAATGGGGTGGCTGGGTAGCTCAGTTGCTTAAGCATCTGCCTTCGGCTCAGGTCATGATCCTGGAGTCCCGGGATAGAGCCCCACATTGGGCTCGCTGCTCAGCAGGCAGAGTCTGCTTCTCCCTCTCCCTCTGCTTCTCCCCCTGCTCATGCTCACTTTCTCTCTCAAATAAATAAAATCTTAAAAAAAGAGAAGAAAAAGAAAAAAGGCTCTAACCTAATCCTTAGGCTGTAGCTAAAACATAGTACTTCCAGTTACTAGTGATTTACCTTTCAGTGTGAATGAGTTCCAGACCTGTTCTTGGATGTTTTTATTGGAACAGAGCAGGTAGGTCCTGGAATATATTGAAGGAACGGAGTAAACAGTTGTGGAGTGCCTACTGCTGGGTGCCAGGTGGCCTTAGAAACTAAGGCAGACTGGGGCACCTGGGTGGCTCAGCTGGTTAAGCATCTGACTGGGTTTCTGCTCAGATCATGATCTCAGGGTCCTGAGATTGAGCAACCCCCCCCCCCCCCCCCGCCCCGCCGCCAAAATCAGGCTCCGTGCTCAGTGGGGAGCCTGCTTGAGAATTCTCTCCCTCTGCCCCTCCCCCCACCCAGCAGGCTCTCTAAAATAAATCTTAAAAAAAAAAAAAAAGACACTAAGGCAGGTTTTCTCAAGTGGGTCTCACCATAGCTATGCAAAGGTTTTTCCCCATTGAATAGATGAGGAAATTGATGCCATTAATAACATTTTTTAACTGCCACCATTTTTTCACATATTTTCTGTTATTGCTTTTGCCCTCAAAACCTAAAATATTTTTTTTCAAGGAGGCTCCAGGCCCAACGTGGGGCTTTAACTCCTGACCCTGAGATCAAGAGTCGCATGCTCCACTAACTGAGCCAGCCAGGTTCCCCAAAACATAAAATATTTTTTACCTGGCCCTTTACAGAATGTTTGATGACTCTACTCTTGATCTGCCAAGCTCTAAACCTATCCCAAGTCAGATGACTCCTGTACTACATTCTTCTACATCTCTAGAGAAATACCTGGGCGGGGGGGGAAAGACCACAAAAAATTAAACTATCATTCTATCCTGGGTTTTTAGAAAAAGAATTGATATGATAAATAGACAAAGACAACCACCCCCCATTCCAGCATCTTTTGTTTAAAAATATTGAAATACCATCGTTGGACCCAGTCAGAGGTCACATCTCACACTTGTAAGAGAACTTCCCTTTTTGCCTTGCTGCCAGGAAGCTCAGAATGAACTTTATAAAACTGCAACAATATGCCTTAGCCTAGTTTTTTTTTAACAAAATCATTTCTCCCAAATCCTGTTATTACTAGTCTCCTGTCCCCTGACTTCTATTTTAATAGGCCTGTAATAGCTGCCAATTATTCAATACGTATTGAAAAGCTCCAGTCTTTTAAGAAGCAGGTAGGGACACAAATGATTGATGATTATTTTGAGATAGTACCATGGGCATGCCTCATTTCACGCTGCCCCTGGATGGAGACTTTCCAAGGAAAAGGATCCTTCCCCCAAAACCTGGTAGCTCTCCCATGCTTTGGAATTATCTCCCAAGAATGACAGAGAAAAGCAGAGGAGGAGGGCAGCGTGTGGAGCCTGGAGACACACACACTCAGGTTTAAATCCCGGCTCTGCCTCCCTGAGCACTTGGGGAGCTGGTTACATAACCTCTTCTGGTCCCCATTTCCTCATAGGTAGAATGCTGGCAGGAATGTCCACCCCTCAGGTTGACTTATAAGGACCAAACAAGATAATGTACATAGCTATGCTCTGTATCATGCAAATTTTTATTCCCACAAATTCCTCATTTAAAAAAAATGATAGTTCTCATCTATGGAAAACCAGCAACAGTCCAGGACCCTCCCCTTCTACATTTTTCATATGGGATGAACCAAGCCTGGCTGCGGATGAGGGATGAGGGATGAGGGATGGGGGATGGGGGATGGGGGTGGTAACCTCACTCAAGATCCCTTGTCGAGTTAGTGGCAAAGCTGAAACCAGACCCACGGTCTCTTGATTTGCAGGCTGGTGCTCTCTTCTCCAAGCCAAGCTGCCTACTGCCGAACTCCTAGCAGAGGTGACAGCACCCCTCTGAGGATTCAGCACAGTGCTTGGCACCAGAAGGTGTGTAAATAATGAACAAAAAACCTGCAGGAGCAGTTAAGCAACAAAGTCTTACATCATTTCACGCCAGATAACAAGTGATGTGGGAAACAAAGGCAAAAGAAAAAATTAAATTTCCTTACTATTTACTGCTCACTGACAAGTCCTTGAAACAGGCAGTGATGTTCCTCTAGAAACTCAGCTGCCTCAATGTTAATATTCTGCTAGGGGCAAAAGGCAATCTTAGCTATCCAAACCCACCCCACCCACCCCCAGGATCCTGCAAGTCTTCTTTTAACATACAGAAATTCCTCTGGAAACTTCCTTTATCTCTACCCCCCAGGATGCATGTTGGCAATCATCCTCCAAGCATATGGTCCCCTGATATACATCTGAAGAGTCTCATGACTAAGGTTTTATTAGACAGTAATAAATGATCTTTTCCTAACAATAGCTAGCCCCCTCAAGGTCCTGGAAACCTTGTTTCCAAAATACCTTGGAGGCTTGTGCTGTTCCTAACCCCCTCCCAACTTCAAAGTATATAATCAGTCACTGGTCACAACCCCAGTGTAGCTCTTTCTGCCCATGGGTCCTATTCCATGCTCTAGTAAAACCACCTTTCTGGGGGCACCTAGGTGGCTCAGTTGGTTAAGCATCCAACTCTTGATTTCCGCTCAGATCAGGATCTTAGGGATGCTCAGCCGGGAGTTGGCTTCAGATTCTCCCTCTCCCTCTGCCCGCCCCCCCGCCCCACACTCTATTTTTTTTTTTTTTTAGATTTTATTTCTTCATTTGAGAGAGAGCAGGAGCGCGGGAGAGGGGCAGAGGGAGAGGGAGAAGCAGACTCCCCACTGAACAGGGAGCCCACAGGATCCTGGGATCATGACTTGAGCTGAAGGCAGCCACTTAACCAACCGAGCCACCCAGGCAACCCCCACTTGTAGAAATAAATCTTTAAAAACAAACAAACAAAACCACCTTTTTGCATCGAAGTCTTCTTCAAGAATTCTTTCTGGACCATTTGCTCCGAACCCCAACATTTTCACATCAACAAGCACTCAGTTATCTCAGGTGTGAGGTCCAACACTCTTCTTGGCCCCAGGCCTTGTTCTTCTCTAGGCTCCCCTGAAGGGAATCAACTAATAGTCTCCCTCTCTCCCCCTCCCCCACTGTCCTCCCTCCCTCTCCCTCCCCCCCCCCCCCTGCAGGAAGAAGTGGCTGCTGGGCCATTAGGGTTGGGCTGGGGATAAGGAGGGGGTAGTTTACCTGCCCGTACAAAATAGCAGTGCAGGGAGTGCACATGGACGTCTTCGCTCACAGACTTGGCTGCAGCCACCAGGGCCTGGCCCACAATCTGACCCCCAAACAGCCGCTGGGTTGTAGGTACCCAGTAATGTCTTCCTCTGTGGGGAAACAGGAAAGCAGGAAATACTTGGGCTGAACACAGGGCCAAATCCTGCAACCATCACTGAGCCTATAGGGCAGGATCTCTCCAGGATCCTTGTGAAATCTGGTGAAAGCCATGGACCCTTCTCCTAGGCAAATACCTTTACTCTGCATACAGCATACAGGTAACTTCAGGGCCTTCAAGACTGCCCAACCCTTCTGTGGGCTTCAGTCAAAGATAAGGAACCAATGCCCTTATTTTACACAAAGAGAACAGGAATCAGAGAGCGAAAGTGACTTGAGCAAGGTCACACAACTCAAATATTGTCAATCCTGAGCAGTATCTGCGTCTTTTGCCCCCAAGTCCAGTGTTTCTTCCGCTGCAGTATTCCAGGATAAGGCAGAAGCCTCTCAAGGCCGTTAGGGGACCAAGATGAACCCCAAGAGCTGGGGGCAGACCGCATTAAGGCCTGCCACTTACAACTCTCAACTTGGGACAGTCCAGGTCTTCCAAGAACTAGATCTAGAATTCTTAAGAGCCCTGAGGCTTCCAAGTCTAACCCTTCAGTGCACAGATGAGGAAACTAAGGCCCCAGAGGTGAAACTCCAGCTTCCTACCACTGAGCCCAGGCCAGTCCAGCCCTAGGTTAGCATTTTGTAATATAAAGCATTCCAAGGTAGCCCTCCAGGAAGTTATTTGTAATTCATTAAGCAGGGGGAAGGGAAGTTAACACCTAAGATTGCTTCTGAAAAGCCAGTAGGAACCATGAAGAGCAAAACTATTAAATCCCTAGCTACCGAGAGCATTTAAGTGGTATCTGGAAGGAAACTGGCTCAGGCCTCAGAAAGTGCAATGAGCTACTAGATCCAAGTGGTGGAGGGAAGGAGGTCTGTAAGAGGAAAAAGACAGTGAATATGCAAGGAGCTGCTTATAAGTTTTAAACCTGATCAGCTGCGTGCACTTAGACAAGTCACCACCCTTTCTGGGCGGGCTCCCCCAAGGACATGACTCCTCAAGGGAGGCTGCTGAGAAGGCTATCTCAGGCCACCACTTTATTTGCCCAGATTGCTAGGACCTCCTAGTGGCGGGGCTGAGCAGCCCTGGCACACAGAGGGAGGAAGCTAGGGCAGCGAGGGCAGGTCTGTCGGGGACAAGTTCTCTCCCAATCGCGGCAGAGCCTGCATCCCGCGCAGAGCCCATCCTCGTCCAGGGTGCTATCAGCAGGGGGCAACGCGGTGGCGGCAGTCGAGATCAGAAGCCTCTGTCCCAATGGGGGGGGGGGGGGTTGGGTGCGAGCCAGATGCGGCCGGCTACCTGAACAGATCCTCGTCTAGCGGCTCAAGGTTGAGCACGCTGGTAACCAGGACGCTGCGGAGGTCCCCGGGGGGATCGCCGCCGCCCTGCTCGTCCTCTGGAGCCCGCCGGGACGACATACGGTTCACTTGCTGCCGGCCACGACACTGCGCCGGACCGACACGAGGAGACCGGCACTGAGCGCGGGGCGTCTTCCGGCAGCTTGCTCCAGTAACCGGAAATCCCCTGCCAACCCTGAGAAAGCGGGATCCAAGTTATGATTGGCCGGTTCTCCTGTCAGTCTTCGCGAGAGGCTGCCCATCTTTCTCTGGCGATTGGAGAAAATGAGTGCCAGTCTGGGAATCCCGTGTGTGATTGGGTGTGACTGTGAGGGGGCGGAACCTGGGACTAAGTAATAAGGAATGAGTGTAATTTTTTTTCTCCCGCTCTGTCGGAGAGCAAAGACGCCCCCAGACCCATATATCCCGCTCAGCCCTAGGGGTACTCCCAAGTTAAGGCCACTCAGTTGGGGCCGACCCTTAAGGCATACTGGACACACGCCAGCCTGTAGACCCTCAGAGTATGACCTCTGAACCCTGGTGTTGATCTTGGGACCAGCCCCTGGTGTGGGCTAAGGGGGCGGCCATGGAGCTGGGCAGCTGCTTCAAGACCTACGAGGATTTCAAGGAGTGCTTCAGCGCCTACAAAAAGGAGAACAGGTGCTCCTTCATTCTCAGGGACTGCGTCTCCGTCCGCTTCCACAACCTCAACCATGGCACCTCCATCCGCGAGGACATCCTGTAAGGGCGGGGCAGGAGGGTGGGGAGGAGGCCGGACTGTCTGTCCCCTGGAGGGAGGCCTGGAGGAGGAGGGAGGGGGGGTGCAGATGGGCCCTGGTCTCGAGCATTCAACAGGCTTTAAGCACCTGTCCTGTCCCTGGTGAAAAGAGCAAAACCCTCACAGGCATCGCTTTTTGACCACCCACTTCCCCTTCACTCATTCACTCCATTACAGCTTTCCCGGAATTCCCGGAATAACTGCAATTTGCCCCATTCTTTGAGCACCTTCAGTATCCCTCATACAAATTACTGTCTTCACAAATAGGTAAAAACGCCTTCGCGATGATTTCCTTCGTCAGTGTTCTCTTGACAAAGCAGTTAACGCGTTCAGCTGTTGGTTAGTTTGTGCATTCATGCGTTCATTTTGTACACGGTTCTTGAGCTTCTGAGATTAACAACCGTTTTTTCAAACACTTCCCATGCCCCAGGCATCCTTCTTTGTAGTGTGCATGCTTTACCCCGCAAGGCTGTATTGAGAATTATATGCTATTTTTCCCTTTGGGCAGCTGAGAAAACTGGCTGAGAGGCTAAGATAAGGGTTGACAACTCCATTGTCTTCAGGGCTCAGGTGAAACAGCCCAGTGTAAGAAAGTAAGGAATGATGAAATAATAACAGACACCAGGTCTTTGTAGCAGGGACCACAGAGGTGTGACTGGGGTGAAATGGAGAGCAGGCCCTATCTAATCAACTCCAGCTAATGGCCACCAGGTGAAAATGAAGAGCCGGTGTTGCCAGAATTGGGGGCAGAAGTCGGAAATCCTGGCTTTGGGTCAGTATCTCCACTTTTTAAAAATTGCAAGTCAGTTCGAATTTGAACACACTCTGTGGGGGCCAACTCAAAGTACGGGCTCCCTGTCTAAATTACGTTAGGAGGTTAAGGGAGAGGGGAAGAGCTCTTCTTTTTTTTTTTTTTTTTTTTAAGATTTTATTTATTTATTTGTTAGAGAAAGTGGGCGAGAGTGAGCAAGGGTACAAGCAGGGGGAGCAGCAGAGGGAGAGGGAGAAGCAGGCTCCCTGCTGAGCAAGGAGCCTGATGCGGGACTCTATCCCAGGGCCCTGGGATCATGACCTGAGCTGAAGGCAGACACTTAACCGACTGAGCCACCCAGGCGTCCCGGGAAGAGCTCTTCTTGAGTCTGTTGGATCTTGATTGTTTTTCAGCTCAAAATAATCCACATGCCAAAGTGGCAAATTCTGGGGCAGCCTGCCCTGAACCCCATCAGTGGTTAAAAGGGAGAGCTCAGGAGTCAGAAAGATGGGCTTTACCCTAGAGTTTGGGCAAGACTTAATTTCTATGGCCATTTTGTCCTCTGTAAAATGAGGTGGATGTGGAGAAGAGTAAATAACAAAATGCGTGTAGAAGCAGAAATGTGGTGCTCTGTAAGTACTCACCGAAGTTGTTAACTAGTACATGCTAGAAAGTGGTACTTGGACTCAGTACTTTGAGAGGCAAATGTGCTGTGGGAATTAATCACTGACCAAAAGTCCCATTCCGCTGGAAGATTCTATGATTTTTATACCCAGCTTCCCCTCTCACTTTTATATATGGCTTTTGTGTTTTTCTTTTTGGTCTGTCTTTTGGGGATTGATATTCTTCGAATAGTCCATGGAGTAGTCTCCTGTCTCTTTCCATTGCTGTTCAGTTAAATAGCTATCTTTTTCGGAACATATTTTTGGACCGCATTCCAGACACTCTACTAAGAACTTTACAGGCATTGTTTCATTTAATCCTCATCACACTCTTTGAACTAGGCCCTTATTATCTGAGTTTTCACTTTCCATGTGTCCATAGTCACAAGGCCCAGTAGGAAAGCAGATGTCCTACAAAAATCTTGCTAATAAAGCAGCCACTAATAAAATAAGTCACTACTAAATAATTTCCTGCTTATCCCTACCAGTCCCATTAGCATCTTTGGCACTCAGCTTCTGGCTAATCAACAGATGTGGTAAACATCAGGATAACATAATGGAAAGAAAACTAATTGCAAACTGAAATTACACATCTCCCAAGAGTTGTAGGACTTAGTGAAGTCTCTGAAAGTAATGATTGCGAATTCCTTTCATCACGTCAGCCCCCCGACACCCATGAACAAGGGAAGAAGGGAAATCAACAAGGCTGATGATGTGATAGGAATTTGACAAAGGATATGCATAGCAAAGAATTAAATTAGATCCTTGGGGAACCTGATAAAGCCCAGGAATGTTTCCATAAAACTGACCTTTCCATATAGTAAAAGTGAGACAGTAAATAAAGCATCATAGTGTTTGGGGAAATGCACCAGGAAAAAAAAAAACCCAACAGTTGACACTATAAGTCATGCTTTGATTATTTTAAGAATGGGTATGTGCTGGGGTGCCTGGATGACTAAGTTGTTAAGCATCTGCCTTCGGCTCGGGTCATGATCCCAGAGTTCTGGGATCGAGCCCCGCATCAAGCTCCCTGCTCGGCAGGAGGCCTGCTTCTCCCTCTCCCACTCCCCCTGCTTGTGTTCCCTCTCTCGCTGTGTCTCTCTCTGTCAAATAAATAAATCTTTAAAAAAAAAAATTGGTATATGCTGCCATTATAACCTACATTTTGTTAAATATATTTTTTTAAAGATTTTATTTGTCAGAGACAGCACAAGCAGGGGGAGCAGCCGGTATGACCCTGAGATCAAGAGTCGTATGCTCTTCCAACTGAGGCAGTCAGGAGCCCCTAAATATAATATTTTGGCTGCAATTAACTGAAAACTCTGATTCAAAAATGGTTTATTTCTTAGAAGCCCAGAGGGCACATTTGAAGGTGACTGTTTCCATGGCCCAGGCTTTTTGTTTCTTTCCATTCTGCCATCCTCAGGTCTCAGCTTTGCCTGCAGGAAGGCTCCCCACATGGCACAAATGCAGGGGTCATGTCCAAAGGGAAAAGTCTTCCTTGGTTTCCTGCAGATTTCCTATCATGTTTCTTTCTCCAGAATTGGGCCAGTATCCGTGCCCATTCCTAATGAGATTACCTTAATTGGCTTAGACTAGCTCTGAAGTACTTAGCTATGTGGCAGAGGAATGGCAACCCAAATTAAGTTGGCTTTCTGTTAGGAAGGAAGAAGGGGCTAAGGGCTGTTGAGTTAGCAACCTACAGATCCAGTCACAACTTTTTAAATGAATTCACTTTTAGTGGGTCTGGTTGGTTTTGAATGAGGTACTGACTTTTCATAGACCAGTACTCTTGTTATTTCTGTATTTACAGATAAGGATTTGGGAGACTTAGAGGAAGTGAAATGACTTGTCCAGGTTCACACAGCTAATAAGTGGTAGAGCTGAAACTTAAACTCAGATCTTCTGACTCGGAAGTCTTGTTCCTAACTTAAGCTATATTGTCCAAAATTACTTTACTCCACCTATAAAAATCCTATTCGTTGCTGAAGGTGTGATTTACACACAAGGACACAAATCTTATGTAAAATTAATCAGAAGCCTTAGTTAATCTGTGCCAGGCCCCAGAGAGTGAATCACTCCTTGTTCAGTTCTAAGTATATTGCTTGTACCTCTCTTTTTTCTTTTTTTTTTAAGATTTTGTTTATTTATTTATTTGACAGAGAGACACAGCGAAAGAGGGAACACAAGCAGGGGGAGTGGAGGAGGGAGAAGCAGGCTTCCCACGGAGCAGGGAGCCCAATGCGGGGCTCGATCCCAGGACCCCGGGATCATGACCTGAGCCAAAGGCAGACACTTAATGACTGACCAACCAGGCGCCCCGCTTGTACCTCTCTTGAACTATTCACTCAGTATTTCACTGGCTGCCTGTGTGAGCCTCTCTCTGCTCACATAGACTTAGTGAGTGGAGACATCTAATTAGTCTGTGTAGCCCTGTAAGCCACTAGTAGAGTGTTCAGTACATAACAGGACTTGGTAAATGTTTGAAATTAAACGAAGGACTTTTCGAAGTCATAGTTAGGAAAAGGAATAGTGCTAGGACCAGAAGCCAAGCGTTCTCATGGAACTCTCCCAGTGGTCTTCCTAGGATACTTCTCATGTTCTACAAGGAGAACTTCCTGTGCTCCGCAGTCAATCATTTAACATTCATTTGGTCCGCATGGTTTGAGCACCTGCTGTGTGCTAGCTGTGGGACTGGGCACTGGGGGCACCTGGCAGCACTGTCCAGTAGGGAATACAGACACCTACAAAGTGGATGGGAAGCAAGGCTGGCTGACTCCCTTCCTCCAGATACTGGTTGAGCGGTCTCAGATGCAAGCAGTAAGGGAAATTCAGAAAGGTGTGAAACCTTGTGCCTGTCTTCAAGGGCGTCGATGTATTAAGCCGTGAGACAACTAAGTACAGATTAAAATAACTGCAGTACTCAAGTTCTTAACAAAAGAGTTGCATACTTTACTATATGTAGGTTATTTCTCAATAAAAAAGATTAAACAAAGCAGGGAAAAAACAGGCTTCAACCTAGTACCCATGATGTTTGAAATGCATGATGCCAACAAGGACATTATGTTTAGAGATCTTTTTTTTTTTTTTTTTTAAGATTTCATTTATTTTTGAGAGAGAGAGAGCACAAGCAGGGTGAGGGGCAGAGGGAGAAGCAGACTCCCCACTGAGCAGGGAGCCCGATGTGGGGCTCAATCCTGGGACTCCAGGATCATGACCTGAGCCAAAGGCAGACGCCCAACCGAGCCACCCAGGCACCCCAGTGTTTAGAGATCCTTAAGGAAGTTATTGAACCTGACTAGTGTGCTGAGGGTAAGAATGAGTATTCCAAGAAAGGAGAGAGATTTTGAAAGCAGACAGGCAGTATAAGGGTTAACTACACAGCCTGTAGCCAAGCAGGCTTAGTTCAAATCCCAGATTCTTACCCTTAAGGACATTTTTAAGCCTGTTTCCCCATCTGTAAAATGAGGATAATAGAACCCCTTTCCTAATATAAAATGGTGCGTGTTAGGGGCTTAATATAGCCCCTAATTAATACCTTAATACATGTAGTACTGGTAGGAAAGAATGTAAAAGACTGGTTAACCTATTGGGTATAGATGTGGAAAAGGAGGAATTAAAAAGAATGCCAAGGTTTCCACCCTCGGAGGTACAATCGGTCATTAATGGCACCAGGAAAGGTTTGAAAGACCTTTATGGTTAGCATTCGCTTCTTTTTTTTGTTTTGTTTTGTTTTTAAAGATTTTATTTATTTATTTGACAGAGAGAGACACAGTGAGAGTAGGAACACAAGCAGGGGGAGTGGGAGAAGGAGAAGCAGGCTTCCCGCTGAGCAGAGAGCCCGATGCGGGGCTCGATCCCAGGACCCTGGGATCATGACCCAAGCTGAAGGCAGACGCTTAACGACTGAGCCACCCAGGCGCCCCCACTTCTTTTTTTAGACTAACCTAACAAACATGCACTAAGAGCACGTGAAGTCAATCTAATGTGATGAGCTAGGGCTCTGCTAAGACGTTGAGCCGGCAAAAGGGTAGGGCCCAGTCTATGGACTTGGGGAAGGCTTCCTAAAAATGATGTTGATGGTTGCATGTAGTCCTGAAGGAGGAGTAAGCTTTGAGATGAAGGCAGGTGGGAAGGGCATTCCAGAGAGAGACAAACACGAGCAAAGGCAGAGAGGTGAGACACAGCATAGTGAATACAGGAAGTTAGTCTTTCTAGGGCACAAAAAATAAGATGGTGAGGGGGTGGGAAAGGAGGCTGATGAGATAGGCAGAGGCCACACCTCGGTCTCCACTGACTGGCCTTGCCTACTACTGGGCTGCGCCGGCCCCTTCCTGGCCCTGAGCTAGGGATGGTGTTGCCGCCCCAGCCCTGTGCACACAGTGGGTGCAGGCATTTTCAGCCCTGGACCACTCCACCCTGTTACTGCAGGCCTGACCTAGCCTGTTTTTCTAAGCTTACCCCACAGGGTGGGCAGACAGGACCAGCTAGATTAGAGTGTTTGGGAAAGGGTTAGTGAGGTGCCCAGGCTGTGTCACATCATGCCAGGGGCTGAGATTTTCCCCCCTCTCCTGGTTGCTAGGACACTCCCTGAGGAGGCAGGGGTGTGACCCGTCCCACCCATGGTCTATGCGTCATTCATTGGAACATCTTTGATAAACATCTGCTGAAAGAATAGCATTGTGTTAGATGCTTGGAATACACGGAGAAATAACTCAGTCTTGCCACTTGATGACAGCCCCATCCAATTGTTAAAGTACTTTATAAACACCCGAGAGAACGAGAGAACATCACAAGGCATAGGAGCTGTAGTAACAGTAGCAGGCTTCTATTTAGCATAAATAAAAGGCTGAACCAGGCTCTGGGCTAAATATTATGTCTGGGCTTCTTTAATCCCCATAACCATCTTTTTTTTTTCTTTAAGATTTTATTTTTTGGGGCACCTGGGTGGCTCAGTTGGTTGAGCGTCTGCCTTTGGCTCAGGTCATGATCTCCGGGTCCTGGGATCGAGTCCCATGTCGGGCTCCCTGCTCAGGGGAGAGTCTGCTTCTCCTTCTCCCTCTCCCTCTGTGATCTCTCTCTCTTTCAAATGAATAAATAAAATCTTTAAAAAAATTTTTTTTATTTTTGACTAATCTCTACACCCAACGTGGGGCTTGAACTTGCAACACCAAGATCAAGAGTTGCACGCTTGATCTTGAGCCAGCCAGGCGCCCCTAATGCTCATAACAGTCTTAATAATGCACACAGAGGGGTAGAGTGACTTGCCCAAGGTCAAAGAGCTTCTGAGTGTGGAGCCCTGATTCATATCCAGGCCGTCAGCCTCCAGCATCTCCACTGTTTAACCACTAGGTATACTGCCACCCAGAAAAGCTTTTAAGCCTTTTATGTGAAATAAATGCTATGAGTTCAGAGAAGGGAGCAGTTGCTGTGGGTTGAAGACATCCACAAAGCCTTCCTGGAGAAGGTGGGACCTGATTTGGCCTCGAAGCATGGGTTGAATGGGGACAGGAAAAGAGCAGATATTTAATTTAATTACCCCTCTCCTTTGAATCATCACTTTCAGTCTAGAATGGCAAAGCTGACAGGGACCTGAAGATCATCTGACCCAGGGGTTCTCTTAGGATTTGGACATTTTTGTTGAAATAAAAGATGAATAGAGATGTTTCCTGTGAGAGAGGGCCACTTGTACCGTTGCTGTCTGGAGGAGGAGGAGGCAAAAGCAGTAGTTTCCAAAAGGCAGGAACAAAGGGGACACTTTAAACAGTGAGGAACCAGCTGGCCCTCTGCTGCTGCCTCTTGTCTGTTTTCCCTCGTGGCTTGCCTCACACTGAATCACTGGGAGCTACAGATGGGCCACAGAGGGTGAATGAAAGGGAAAGGAGCGGGGCTTAGAACTGCGGAAGATGAAAATTAATGCAGTGTTAGCTGGACAGGGTCTTGACAAAAGAGCTGAACACTTTGGGATTGGAGCGTGAATGTCAGGCTTCCTTCCCTACATCCTACACTGCCTCGTGATCTCTGGGACACGTATCAGCCACTGTATCCCTACGGGGTCTTGTCTTATAAGAGAAAGGGGCGGGGGACACCTGGGTGGCTCAGTCGGTTAAGCGTCTGCCTTCAGCTCAGATCGTGATCCCAAGGTCCTGGGATTGAGTCCCACATCGGGTTCCTTGCTCAGCAGGGAGCCTGCTTCTCCCTCTACCTGCCCCTCCCCCTGCTTGTGCGCTCTCTCTCTCTGACAAATAAATAAAATATTAAAAAAAAAAAAAAGAGAGAAAGGGGCGGGCAGTACCTTTCTCACTGTCACCTCTACCTTCCCTAGATATGTGCAGGTGAAATTTGTCTGTATTCGGACTCAGTCAAACAGGAAGAGAACCTCAGAGGCGGACATGTGCCCAGCGTACTTGCTTCTGCGGTACAATGAGAAACTGGATAGACTGTTTATCAGTGAACTCAACACCCAGCATATCCATGTTGACTCCAAAACTGCAAGTCCTAGAGGAGACACCGCTGGCAAATCTCAAAAGACAGTGTGCCTGCAGAAATCCCAGCCCGCGCAGCCCGCTATCAAGAAAGACCTTGACCTGGCCGAGAAGTCCCCCGTTGAACCATCATTTTGCTTAGATAAGGTCCAAGCACCCTCAAAGCCAGAGCAGGAGGGCATCACTCCTTCTGACCTGGCCAAGATAGCAAAAGTGATGAAAAACTTTCTTAAGGTGGATGAGGGTTCCATGGCCTCTCTCAGTGTGGGCAACAGCCAAGACCTGGACCGGCTCAGCTTCCAGAGCAGCAAGATGAGCGATCTATTCATCCGCTTCCCAGAGAATCTCTTGCTGCACCGGGTGGAGAACGCCCAGGGCCACATCCTTTATGCTTTCTTGGTGGAGAACAAGGAACGAGAGGGTCGCGTGGTACACTTTGCAGTGCTTCAGGCTGAGACAGCTACCTCCGTGGCCAAGATGCTGAGTATCTTCACGGAGTTCAACTCAGATTGGCCCAAGGTCAAGGTGGTGTTTGTGGACCCATCCTTCCCTCATCGAGCCATCCTGCAGGAGATCTTCCCTGCTGCGCGCATCCTCCTCTCCATCTACCACACCACCCGGCTCCTGGAGAAGAAGTTGCATCGGAGTTCAGCAAATCCATCCTTTAAAAGGCTCATGAAGGAAGCCCTCCGGGAGGCCGTGTTTGTCACTTCTGATGCCAGCCTGCAAAATCTCTGTCAGATGTCCCAAGCCTTACTAGATGAGCAGCTCTTTGGCTTCCTGCAGGCCCACTGGTTCTCCTGTGAACTGCTCTGGTACATGCATGTGAGGAAAGGCCTGCACGCGTGTAACACGTACATGGACAGCCTAGACGTGGTCACCAGCAAGGTGTCCAGCCTCTTCCGGGAACAGCAGTGTCTGCTGGACTGCATCCTCCGCTTTGTGGATTATATAGACTTCTTTAATACCAAAGGCTTGAAGAACTTGCCCACAGCTCCTCCCAAGTTAAAAAGAGCCCGGCCAGCCAGCATGCCACCAAAGCCCAAGAAGGCGTTTGGAGTCTGTGGGGGGAGCCTCACCAGGCTCCCCGTGGAAGAGACCAAGCCAGGCCCGCAGCGGGGGCAGCTGCGGCAACAGCCACAGGTGCGGCCCTCCCAGGGCGGCATCTCCCAGGGCGGCATCTCCCAGGGCGGCATCTCCCAGGGCGGCATGCTAGACGCCTTGCACAGCAGTGGCTCCCAACTGGCCTATAAGCTATGCCATAACGAGTGGGAGGTGGCACAGAACTCCACCCACCTGGTGGACATGGCTGGCTCCTCAGTGGACATTCAGCTACTGGAGGATTCTCACCAGGTGAGCAAAGATGGCTGTAGCTGCAGCTGTTCCTTTCAACGGTGGTACCACCTGCCATGCCGGCACATTTTGGCCCTGCTGCACACCAGCCAGAAGCCCGTGGGAGAAGCCATGGTGTGCCGCCGGTGGCAGAAGAGGTACCAGCACCTCCTTGGGCCCAGTGGGGAGCTCCGGGACCCCGTCATAGTCCCAAACACAGGCCAGCCTGGGAGGCAAGGACGGAGTGACATGATTCAGGACCTAAGCAGGGAGCTAGCAAACCTGCTCATGCAGAGCGAGGGGCCAGAGTTAGAGGAGCGCTGTTCCACCCTGCGCAAGATTGTGGACATCTGGGCAGACCCCTGCCAGCCGCCTGAGCCCAGTCAGCAGCCAGAGGACTTCAAGGATGTGGGCCGCCTCCCTTTCCTCTGGGGAAAGCCAGAGGAAGGGGAGGGACTCCCTCCCACCGGAGCCACGATTCGTGATTGAAGCACTGGCACTGGCACATTGGACCACAGGCCCCTGTCCTTGGAAGTCTGAGAGCTCAAGGCAGGCGGGACATGCTAGGGGCCAGCATTCTCACCAGGGTCTTCCTAGGTAGGGCTAGGAAGATTGTTACAACAGGGGGAGGAGGAACCCCAGTGGGTGACAGGTCCTTTGAATCCACCTCCTTTTCTGCCCTACCTTTGTCATTCCTTGGGAGCCTCCTTCATTGTCAAGGCCAAAGTTACCTCCATGCTGAAAGGTCACCCCTCTTTCTGCCCTGATTCCTGAGATCAGATCTTATTCCCATTAGAGAGGTGAACTCCTGCCCCAGGATAGGGTGAGACAAAATATACCTGGTAAAAGGACCTGTTTTCGGGGAGGAAGGGACGGAGGGTGACCTTGGCTGTTGCTGCTCTTTACGAAGATTCTGTTATTTGTACTTATTTTTTTCATAGTAAATAAAGGTTGTGTGTTTTTAATAAATAAGCAGGGGAACTGTGTGCTGCTTGCACAGGGAAGGAATCTAATGGGGGTTGTGGGTTAAGCACCTGCTGCCTTAAATTCAAAGACTTAGCAGTCCACCACCGACTTCATCCTCTTCCTACCAACCAAGGCTTCAACACTGATTTCAGGCTGCCTAAAATTCTAGCAGGAGGAGGCCAAATAGCTGTGGGGCGGGGGGAACCTGAACCCTAGACTCCACTGCATTTGCTGGGGGGACTGTGGGCAAGTTTCTAATTTCTTTGACCCCTGGCTTCTCATCTGTAAAGAGAAGTGTTGGCCTGTTCTAATCCCAATTTACCCTCTAGGTTTATATAAACAACATTTTCCTTCCAGTTCTAAGCCCCAGCATGGACTTCCGTTGTTGCTAGTTTGTAATCTTAATCACCTAAAACCTGGGAGCTACCCAGCTTTCCCAGATGTCATCTTCAGGGGAACCGAGGTCAAAGGTGGCAGTCAGTCTTGGCTCCTGCACTAGTCTGCCATGACCTCAAACAAGTCACAGCGCCATTCTGGATCTCCTTCTGTAAAACACTGGAGGGGCTGGGGCTGGGCAACACAAGGTTCAGCTCTCACAAGATCATCTGGATTTCCTCAACTCTAAGCGCTGGGCCCCTGACCCCGGATGGAGAAATCAGAATCTGAGACCTGGGCCTCAGTTTCCGCATCAGGCGGAAGACACAGTACAACCACTAGGCATCCTTTCCTACCCGACCCACCCCCACCCCCCACCCCCCGCCCCCACACACACCCACCCGGGGCTTTGGAATTTGATCAGAAAAGAAAGAAAAATCCATAAAGCACTGCTATTTATTTTCCTTTTCATTTTCGGCCTCTGAGGAGTTTCCATAGTAACACGCCCTTCCAGAGTCTTCTCCCCAGGCGCGGGGCGTCGGAGTTCCAGCCTCAGGGCTCGGGCTCGCCTGGATGCTAGTGTCCTCGGGCTTTCATTGGTCACCGCCAGCCGAGCCCCTCGTAACCCTAGGAACAGCACCCGCCCACAAATCGCCGGGCTACGATTGGTCTAGGCCCCCAAAACCGAACGCGAACTCTTCCGGCCATTGGCCCGAGTCACGACGAAGCTGGTCCCGCGGTTGGTGAGCCTAGAGGTCAGTCAGAGTCAGAGGCAGGGTCAAATAGGGAGAAATGGCGCCGGAGCGAGGCAGTGGGTGAGTGATTTCTGAAGGGGTGGAGGTGTGAGGCGATTGACGACCGCGGTCAGCCATGACACAGCTCCCAAAGGGGTGGGAGGTTGACTTCTCTTCTGGCTCCGGCCGTAATCCGAACGGGAACGTCTGACATCTACTTCCTCCCACCCGGGTTAGAGGTCAGAGGTCAGAGGCTGCGTCCCCTCTGTGGTGTTTGGACCTCAGGTACTGTGGAAAGCAGTCAGGATCCCGAGCCAAAGACTCAGCTTCCAGCCACTTACGGAGTAATGGTGGGCAAGTCATTTAACCTCTTTGAACCTCAGTTTCTCATCTGTAAAATGGGGACAGTAACCCGGTTTGGGGCCAAATAGAGGAAACTTTTAACCAGAGTACTGCAGTTAATAGAGGGATTTATGGAGAGGCAGGAGAAGCCATGCGCATTTGATAGCCCTTGTGCGCGTGGTTCAAGGGCTTGAGGCTCAGAGGGAGTCACTGACTTGCCCAGAATCATACAGTTTGGAGGGCAATTACAGTTCTCTTATATATACTCGGACCAAATGGAAGAATGGATGCCAAGTGGTAATCTGTAAATATAAAGTGCTAGACAAATATTTAAAATGCTATTTAAGGTGGGGGCTGGGAGACCATATGCCGCTCTAGCCCCCCCCCCCCCCCCCCCCCCCCCCCCCCCCGGTTAAATCTCTGGGAACTGAATCTTCCATGGCCAGTTTATCAGTTAGGTCTCAGCTCCAACGTCATCCTCCCGACCCAGAGAGAGCTTCCCTGGCCACCTTAGCTAAATCTCTCTCCCTCCCCCAGCTTACTCTCTACCTGTTACCCAGTTCTGTGGTGTTTGTCTGTTATATCTATATCTGTTTACATGTTTATCATGTATCTCCCCCAGAACAGTGCTGATACATAGTAAGCAGTATTGTCTGGATGAATAATCGAGGAGCCAAGCCCCTACTGTCTCCTTAAAATTCTATTCCTCTCCATAGGCCCATCTTTGGAACAAGATCAGGGAACTACATTCCAGCCTCAAGCTTCAGCTTAGTTGGAGCTTGAGATCCTGAGAGTCTCCTGGCAGAGAAAGTATTTTGACCTTGGCATCGAGACATCTCCCATCTCCCCCATGGCCCTGACAATGCTGAATGAGCTCCTGATTGAGGACCCAAGCCCACCTATGCTGCTGTATCAGGTTAGCAAGACTGCTCAGTTAGATACCGTCAACTACCAAAGCTGCTTTATGCAAGGTGTCTTTGCCCATTTCCCTGAGATCTTATTTATCCACCGGACCTATAACCCAGTAGGCAAGGTGCTATATACCTTCCTGGTAGATGGACCTCGGGTGCAGCTGGAGGGTCATTTTGCCCGGGCAGTGTACTTCGCCATTCCTGCCAAGGAGGATGCTGAGGGCCTGGCCCAGATGTTCCAGGTGTTCAAGAAGTTTAACCCAGCATGGGAGAGAGTCTGTACCATCCTGGTGGATCCCCACTTCCTCCCGCTGCCCACCCTTGCGATGGAGTTCCCCGCAGCCGAGGTCCTGCTCTCAGCCTTTCACATCTGTAAGTTCCTCCAGGGCAAGTTCTATCAGCTGTCCCTTGAACAGCCTGTGGAGAGGGTGCTCCTCACTTCGCTGCAGAGCACGATGTGCTCGGCCACAGCTGGCAACCTGAGGAAGCTCTATACACTCCTGAGCAGCTGCATCCCTCCGGCCCAGCTGCCCGAGCTCCACTCACACTGGCTGCTCAATGACCGCATCTGGCTGGCCCACCGCTGGAGAAGCCGAGCTGAGAGCAGCCGCTACTTCCAGGGCCTGGAGGTCACCACCCGCGTCCTCAGCCAGCTCTTCGGCACCACCCCATGTGTGGAACAAGGCATGGCCTCTCTGCTCCGATACATGCAGCAGAACGCAGGAGACGAGGCAAGCTTCAGCCTGGGCCTGAGTCCCCAGAACAGTCGCACCCCCTTAGATGTCAGCCCCGAAAGCCCCAAAGCGGAGCAGCTGGTAGAAGCCCGCATCCAGCGCTCCCTCAATGCCATCTGCACGGGGCCAGCCGCCCAGCTCTGTCTGGGTGAGCTCGCTGTGGTCCAGAAATCTGTGCACCTCATCGGCTCCGGCTCGGAGAAGGTGAACATCCAGATCCTGGAGGACACCCATCGGGTGCAGCCCCAGCCCCCTACCAGCTGCAGCTGCTACTTTCACCAGGCCTTCCGCCTGCCCTGCCGCCACGTCCTGGCCATGCTCAGTGCCCGCCACCAGGTGCTCCAGCCCGACATGCTGCCAGCCCGGTGGACGGCAGGCTGTGCCGCCGGCCTAGACAACATCCTGGGCAGCAAGTGGAGTGAGACGCTGGATAAGCACTTGGCTGTGGCTCTCCTCACCGAGGAGGTGGGTCAGCTTTTGCAGCACTGCAGCCAGGAGGAGTTCGAACGGAGGTACAACACCCTACGGGAGCTGGCCGACAGCTGGATCGGCCCTTATGAGCAGGTCCAACTCTGATTAACCCTCCATGCCCAGAGATGCGCATGTACGTGTACACACTCACATCCACCCCTACACAAACACACACTCACACTTTTACACTTCCGTGGGCCTGCCTTCCAGGAAGGGACAAGGGCCTTCTATTCTACCGTAGCCTGTTACCTAAAATGTGTCTAGTTCCTAAGACAGGAGTCAGCAAACCTTTTCTGTAAAGGGCTCGGCAGTAAATATTTCAGACTTTGCTGGCCACAGTCTCTGTTGTATGTTCTTGGTTTGCTTTTGTTTGGCAGCCTCTTCAAAAGCTTAAAAACCATTCTTAGCTCCAGGGCCTTAGAAACAGGTGGCCCTGCTCTAGGATAAGACACTGGGTGGAGATCAAGGACAGGGGTTTGGTAACAGCTTCCCCAGTCATTAGATGACTCACCTGACCCACAGAGGAGAGGAGGTAGATCCCAGCCTTTGTCCCCTGGCCCCCACCTGAAGGTCATTAAAGTCAATGTTGCCTATTCCAGCACTTGTCTTGTCTTCTAGAAGGCAGCAGAGCAAATATCGTGGAAAGAATAGACTTTGGAATCTGACATTACATGCAAATCCCAGTTCTTTCTCTGCCTGATTTTTGAGGCCTGATTGTAGCTTTTACTAGCTCTGGGACATCAGGCAAGTCACCCCTCAAAAGGCTCAATCTGTTCATCTGTAAAAATGGAGATCCTCACAGCACTGCTAAGATTAAAGGGTGCATGTAATGGGCCCGTGACCAGTGGGCGCTCAAATAACTGTTCATTTTCCTTCCTTGCTCTTGGTCTCATCACTTGCCCTCAGCTGGCTGGGAAATGTAAGGCAAGGGGAAAATTCACATTGCCTAGGACTTTGTACCAGACATCTTGATCGAATCCCAAAACAATACAAAAGAGGCCTCCACTCCAAGCTGGGCCCCTACCTCAGGTAATTTTCATTACACCATCTCCTAATTTAGTGGTGTCTGGAGAAACTTCCTGGGGTCTAGGCCCTGATGAAAGACTTGTATTGACCAGAGTGGCTCAAAGAACCCCCTTATCCCCATCCATGTCACAGGCACTCCCAATTCTATCTGCCCAAAAACCATACAGAGAAGCCACCCTGTGTGTCTGGTGCTATTTCATCCAGCTACAAGCAGGAGCCAGGAGGCTGGCCTCTCCTGGATCTCATTAGGGGCGCTTGCCCAGAGGCTGTGTGGGCACGTGCCTGCTCCCACCGCGCCCCCTCCATGGCCCCCTCTGGCTCCGGATGCGTCATCATGAAAGCTTGAGCCGCCCGGATCAGGTCCTCTTCCCGCAGGCCTGGGACAGGCACGGTGGGGATGCCAGCGATCATCATGGCCAGGGTGAGGATGCAGATGTCAGGCTGGGAGCCGGCCTCCTTCCCCCCTGCCTCAGAGGACGTCGGTAGAACCCCTGGTGACAGCCCACACAGCAGCAAGGGCCCGGGCGTGCCGGGGCCACCCAGGTGGGGAGCTCTGCTTCTGGAGCAGCCATCCTCCCAGCCCAAGCTCTCCAGCTGTCTTGCGTGGGGGAATTTGTGGTTGTATCGGCCATACTCCTTCCGCTGCAGTGTCTCCCAGCTAGTCCCCCCAGGGCAGCCCCTGGCTTCCGGCACCGCCAGGGCCAGGCCCCAGGCCTGGCCAGCAGGTGCCACCTGCTCAGCTTTCTGGCTCAGTGGGCCTAGTCCACTAGAGGCCACCACCACTGGCTCTATAGGACTATAGAGGCCAAGGGATGAGCCTGGAGAAACAACCCCACCTGTAGAGACAGGAATGAGATGGAATGTTATTCTTGGGGTCTTTCAGGAGGCCCTGAGGGGCAGGGCATAGGAGCAAGAGCACTGGAAAAGGAGCAATTAAGACCAGCCCCACAGGGCTGTCTAGTGGTTGGAAACTAGGTGTTTTACTCGTATGCACACCCCCAGTCCCCAACACCAAGTAGGTACTAGAGAAGTGTTTGTTGAATCAATGACTGAGTTAGCAGGTAGCTACTGGCAAGGACTTTTGGAATGGCTTTCTTCAGAGAATTGACTCCAGGGCCAGCCCAAAAATGTCCAGCAGAACCTCCACTTCCCCAGAGCCAGGAAACAAGTTCTCAGGGAAAGTTATGGTACCCCCTCCAGTTCCAGGAGCCCCTCTCTCACCTTGGCTGGAAGGCAGAAGACCTTGATGAGTTTGTGGAGACATGAAATAGGACATGGCTGCCCCAAAGCCCCCATTTGTGAGGGAACAGTCGTCTGCCTCCTGTCCTACCCTTTCCACCATTCTAGAATGTCACCTCATAGTCCCTCCTCTTTACACCTGGAACCCACCGCACAGCACTGACCTGTTCATTCTAGAACCTGTATATGATAATGGCATGGGGTTAGAAGAGTGCTGGACCAGGAACTGGACATTCTAGGTTCTTACCTCTACCTTGGCAAGTCACTTGGGACAATTTTGTTCCTTGATACTCCCCTCTGTAAGGTGGAAGTAATGACTACCCACTCCCTCACCAGAAGTTGTGAGGATTAAATGAGATTATCTGTAATGGGAGCAAAGGATCAGAGATACAAATAAAGAGGTGAGTGCTTTGTGCTCTGCAGTATGAGAGGAGTTCTCTGCACTCATTCCTTTGCTGTGTGACTTTGGAATACATTGCCACCTCTAGGCTTCGTTTTCCCATCTGCAAAATGAAATCGTTGGTCCGGGGCACTGGGTCTCATGCTGGGATGCACATTAAATTCTCTGGGGAGCGCTTAGAAATCCTGATGCCCAGCCTCATCCCAGACCAATTAAATCAGAATCCCTGGGTTAGACCCAGTTAGCAGTATTTTTCAAAGTTCCTCAAGTGATTATAATATATGCCAAAGTCAAGACCTCTATTCTAGGGGAATCCTCCTCAATCCTGGCTGAGCTTCTACAAAAGAACAACGTCTAGGCCTAATCCTCCAACAAATGGAATGGGAATCTCTGGAGATGGGGTTTGGGGCATCAGCTCTTTAGTTTATCCCACATAATGCTAATGAGTAGCCAGGCTAGGAACCAATGGTCTAGGTGATGTCCATAATGCTCTGTCTAGGGGCACCCGGGTGGCTCAGTCGGTTAAGTGCCTTTGGCTCAGGTCATGATCCCCGGGTCCTGGGATAAAGCCCCGCATCGGGCTCCCTGCTCTGCAGGAGAGGCTGCTTCTCCCTCCTTCTGCCCCTGCTCCTGTGCTCTCTTTCACTCACTCTGTCACTCTGTCTCTCAAATAAATAAAATCTTAAAAATAAATAAATAAAAATAGAATGCCCTGTCTTGCTCTGACCTGCTGACCCACAGCGATTCTAGAAGAAGTGCCCCTCACGGACTTCCAGGGCAAGGAGACCCTCCAATGATCAGTGTCAGCACTGGCTGTGTTTATTTCCAGGCCTGGCTGGCAGCAGTATGGCCAGCTTCAGACCAGCCACAGCTTCAGGGCCAGGCCACGCTCCTGTGGCCCTGTTTCAGGGTGGCTGCAGGCCTTTACTCGTACTTGCAGAAATCCTTAAGTCCTTTCGGCAGGTGGAGCCCATCAATGGCCAACCGGTGTACCACGCTCTTCTGGATGACTAGGCGGCACAGAGTCTGCAGGGATGGCACTGTGGAGAGAAGGCTGTCAAAGGCAAACTGAACTGGAGGGGGGTTCTGAGGCTGAGACCCAGAAGATCTAGGTCCTGGTTCTCCCTTTGTCATTAACTTGGGCAAGTCCCTTCTGCTCTCCAGGTCCAGCCTGTGTCACAGGGCTGTTCGTGTGGTTGACATAAGCACCTCTTTCGAAACCTCCACAACGCAGCAGCCCTATTTCTATTTTAACCCTCCCTTAGCAGTTGCCGGGGGTACAGGCAGTGCCTGATTCACCTGTGCACGCCCATCCTCCAGCACAGGTCTGACACAAGACTGGGTTCTAGTTCACTGAATTCATAAAATGATCAGAGGTATAAATAAAGGGTTTAAGGGGGCAATAAAAGGACCAGATCTCATGAATAAGACACTCTCAATCTGGAGCCTATGATGCCTTTAAACTGGTATGCCCCAATCTAGGAGCATTTGTCTGATAAAAGAGCACACAATTTTCAAAGCAGCCCGGGTGTAACAGTTTAGAATCCCTGCCCTAGGTTAATACAGAAGATACCAGCATAGCAACCTAATGGATCACAGCTGAGATGGCGAATCGGAGGCCCAGAGCCAGGGACTGACTTGTCCAAGATCCCAAGCAGAGGCAGAATTTGAAGTCAGATTCCCCAACTTCTAAACTAATGCTGGGCAGACCAAAGCCTTGCTAGCTGGTTTGGGAATCCTAGCAAGTTCCTGTCCCCGCACTGGGCCAGGAGGGGTCGCTGCTCAGGGGGTGGGATACCTACAGCCATACTCGAGCTGGACCAGGCGCACGCTCTTGGTGGAGGCAAACACGTCCACCACTGCGTAGAGGGGCCGGGCTGCTGGCAGCCCCCGGGCGCTGGGGCCCATGTCCTCGCCGTTGATGACGATGTGCATGTCGGCCGTGCCGTCCGGGTGCGGGCAGAAAAGAACGCCCAGGCGGCTGCGGCGCGCGGTCGGAGGCAGCACGTTCAGCTCATACAGCTGATCCAAGAGGTGGCTGTAGAGCCCGGGCCGGCTGCGACCCACTAGGCGGTCGCGGGGAATGCGAAACTGCTCAATGCACACATACGGTTCCACCAGGAGAGCTGGGGGGCGGCTGGGGGCCAATGCCTCTGCCTCCGGGCGGTCCTCCCGGGACACGCGGTTGTGATGGCGCGTGATGGCGAAGACCCAGGTGTGGCCGAGGCTGACCAGGTCGGGCAGCGAAAACTCGGGCACGGCAGCCAGAGTGGCGGGGTCCAGCGCGGTCAGTCCGAGGCGCAGGTGCCCGCACCAGCCCAGCTCTTTCTCCTCGATCTCGACCAGGAATACCTGGCCCGGGGCCAGCGGCTCGCGACTGAAGCATACGCCGTGAGCGAAACTCTCCACGCGTGTGGCCCGCGTCCCGGAGGGGTCCACGCGGATGTTGGCACCGTGCACCTGGTGGAAGCGGGTGGGAGGGGGCTCGGGGCGCGCGGATCTATAGGCCGCACCCAAGTCCACGCGGTCGGAGACAGCACCCATCTCCCGGCCACGGGACAGGCTAGCGGGCGCCGGGCGCTATTTTGGGAGGCGTGCTCAGAAGGTGACCGCGGGGGCACCAAATAAGGTAACCCTCCCATCCCCCCGACTGCCTTCCTCGAGGCTCTGCCCCGAGGTCCTAGCGCCGCTTGCTCAGCCATTCCGCTGGACCCGGGCTCCCGGGAGGCCGGGGCATCCTGGCCGCCCACGTCTGGGTCATCTGATGGCTGGCGCGCGCGAGAAGACCTGGGAGAACCGCGGACTCTGACCCCGCGCAGGCCGCCGCCTTCGAGCCACGGGTCCAGGGTGACCAGCGAGGCGCCGGAGGGTGGCGGTCACGTGACGCCGGCACCCACGTGACTCCGACTCCACATGACCTCCCGCGGCCGGGCCCCTCCTGGAGCGCGAGGACGCAGGGGAGCAGAGGTGAGGGCGCCCGGGGAGGCTGGAGGGGACCCGCAGCCCGGGGCGGGGCGGGGGGGCGGGGGGCGCTCGGGCCCGGCCGGGGACTCTTCTGGCCGCCGCGCCGCCAGCTTCTCGGCGGGGCGGCCACGCGAAAGCGCCGAGGAGCGAGGGAGCGCGGAAACAGGCTGCCCCGCTTGCTGCCGCAGATGGTCGGGGCCGCGCTGTCGCCGCCTTGGCTGCTGCTGCTGCTGCTCTGGGCGCCCCCAGGCCAGGCAGCGCCGGACCTGGATGAGATCCAGTGCCTGCCCGGGTTGGCCAAGCAGCCAGCTTTCCGCCAGTACTCCGGCTACCTCCGTGGCTCCGGCTCCAAGCACCTCCACTACTGGTCTGCGGCCCTCCCTCCGGGGCGGGGGGGGGACTGCGCGCGAGCTGGGGGAGGGTCTGAAGACCCCCGGGGGAGCCTGGGAGCAGGGAGCGCTGGGAGGGGCCCCTCCGCCTGCACCCACCCTGCTCTGCCTCCCTTCCCAGGTTTGTGGAGTCCCAGAAGGATCCCAAGAGCAGCCCTCTGGTGCTTTGGCTCAACGGAGGGCCCGGCTGCAGCTCCCTAGATGGCTTCCTCACGGAGCACGGCCCCTTCCTGGTGAGTGGGAAGCCACTGTCTCCCCCCCACCCCCAACCAGGAAGGGGAGAGGAAGGGGACCGTCCCTAAAGGAAAAGGCTGGGGAGGAGGGAGAACAGGACTTGGAGGTGTTCCCAAGTGTGCCCTTTTCCTGAGCCTGGGTTCCGTAGTCTGTGTCATTGGCTTGACTCTCTGTACCTCTCAGGGGTTTTGCCCGAAGGGGGAGTGCCCCCCACCCCAAGTGGCCCTTTTCCTTCCACCCAGTTGGCCCTTGGCACTTAGCCATTTCTCTCCTCCTCAGGTGCAGCCAGATGGTGCCACCCTGGAGTACAACCCCTATTCTTGGAACCTGGTATAGCTGGAGCTGTGGGTCCTGTGGGGGTGTCTGGGCACTTGGATGGGGTGGGGAGCCTTCTTCAGTTGCTTTCCTCCTGCCATGTAGATTGCCAATGTGTTGTACCTTGAGTCCCCAGCTGGAGTGGGCTTCTCCTACTCTGATGACAAGACTTATGCAACCAACGACACCGAGGTGAGTCCAGTGCCCGCCCCGTGCCCCAGCCTCCCTGGTTCTCTAAGGGTGGCACGCCCCCCGGGGAGAAGAACATGGCCTTGGAGCCTGTTTTTGGCTTTGTCACATGCTGTGTGTGGTCTTGGCAAAGCCACTTCCTCTTGCTCAGAGTGGGTGGGTGTCATTATGTCTGAGGTTCTTTCCAGCTCACATAGGAGAACCTTTTGATTCCCTCCATCCTGCTTTCCCTAGGTCGCTCAGAGCAATTTTGAGGCCCTGAAGGATTTCTTCCGCCTCTTCCCTGAGTACAAGGACAATGAGCTTTTCTTGACAGGAGAGAGCTATGCGGGCATCTACATCCCCACCCTGGCGGTGTTGGTCATGCAGGACCCCAGCATGAACCTTCAGGTACAGGGTCACTGCAGGAGGGAAGTGAGGCAGCTTATGGTCATGGCCTTTCGGTGAGCAAGATCAGACAGACCATCTTCCCCGTCCAACCTGGTCTCCTTTGTAACGTGCTTGCCACTGCCTGGCCCGCCTCTGCTCTTGTGCTTCCCACGACAGGAAGCTCACCTGTCAGCCAGCCAACTCTGTTCTTTGAGTGGCCTCCCCACAAACCACCTTGGATTTCAGCTTCCAGATTGCTGGAGGTCTGGGTGTAGTCAGGGGAGGCTCCTCCTCTGCCTCCAGATGACCTGAATGCCCTGGGTGTTTCACAGGGGCTGGCCGTGGGCAACGGACTCTCCTCCTATGAGCAGAATGACAACTCCCTGGTCTATTTTGCTTACTACCACGGCCTTCTGGGGAACAGGTATGGGAGAGGGCAGTTGGGCAGTCTCCAGGGTGGGGCAGGTCATGAGATCTCAGGTCTGCTTTCCAGCACATGATTGATACCCCGCGGGGCCCTACCTTGGTTTATGAGCAGGAGGTGGGGGCTGAGGTTGCTGGAAGAGACTGAGGAGGGCTGGCAGGATGGCCCCAGAGCAGCTAGGTTTGGAATCTACATACCATCCCCTGTGGTCCGTTTCCTCATCCCCTGGAGGCAGGTGGTGGTAGGAGGCTGGAGGGAGAGGGGGGGAGGCCCACCTGGGGCCTGAACACTTTCATGCATCTCCTACAGGCTCTGGTCTTCCCTCCAGACTCACTGCTGCTCTCAAAGCAAGTGTAATTTCTACGACAACACCGACCCAGAATGCGTGACCAATGTGAGGTTCTGCCCCCAGCCTGTCACCCTGACACCCCCAGCCCTGAGAACAGGACCACATCCCCTCCTTGGGCGCTCCCTGGCCCCGTCCCCTGTGGCTTTCCTGTCCTGCCTCCTTCAGCAATTTGGTGTTTGCTGGGACACGTCTGGGGGTGTGATCCTATCACCACTTCCTCTGACTTCCTGGGCAAATCCTGTAACCGCTGGGAGGGAAAGGATCTCTCACTTATCGAGCACCTACTATGGGCCAGGCACCGGGCTGACATAGGTCAACGCAGATTATTTAATCTTCAAGAGTCTCCTTTAGGGGAGATCGTATTGTCCACATTTTCCAGAAGAGGAAACTGAGGCCACGAATGTTAGTCACTCGTCTGAAGTCACAGTGTTAGGAAGTAGTGGCACCAGGGTTTGGACCCTGGGCTGGCAGATTCCTTCCACTGAGCCTCAGTTTCCCTACCTGTAAAATAAAGTGGGGGAAGGGTGACGACAAGAGGTGAAGTAGGAGAGCGGTCTTGGGACACATTGGCGGGACTCTGGGGAGGCCGGGCTTCTGTGACACGGGTGGCTCGGTGTGTCATTGCAGCTTCAGGAAGTGTCCCGCATCGTGGGCAGCTCCGGCCTCAACATTTACAACCTCTACGCCCCCTGTGCTGGGGGTGTGCCTGGCCATTTAAGGTAGGCCCTGTGGTGTGTCCTGGGGGGCCCTGGGCCCAGCCCCGCCTGGAGGCCGAGGCACCCATCCCCCACTTCACCTGCAGGTACGAGAAGGACACTGTCGTGCTCCATGACTTGGGCAACATCTTCACTCGCCTGCCGCTCAAGCGGATATGGCATCAGGTGTGCAAGAGCCCGCTTCTTCTGGTGGGGGTGGGACAGGGAGGCGAAGACCCTGACCTTCGGGCGGTGCCCCCAGGCACTGCTGCGTTCCGGGGATAGGTTGCGCATGGACCCGCCCTGCACCAACACCACGGCCACCTCCACGTACCTCAACAACCCTTACGTGCGGAAGGCCCTCCACGTCCCCGAGCAGCTGCCCCGCTGGGACATGTGCAAGTGAGGCTCTGGGGCCGCCTGTGGCCTGAGGGTGGCAGGCTCTCAGGGCTCATGGGTATCAGGTTCCCAGGGATCCCTTGGCCAGGGTCTCTCAGGGGTGGCACTCAGGGTGCCACGGTGAGTTGTGCAGGATGTTTGACCATTCAGTCGATTGCTGTTTCGCCAGTTCATTCTTAAACGGCCACATCGGTTGGTAAAATGGCAGTTTGCATCCCTGGTGTTTAGTATACCAGACCCTCTCCCCCACCCCCACTCCACTGCAGTCCCCAGTTGCACGGATCTCCTATGACCCGTGTGAGTAACAGGGTGACGCCTGGCACCACGGGGGCCACTCAGGTCCTCTCATTGGTCAGTGCCCCTGCCCTCCGGTTGTTCCCTGCTGTGGTTCTCACACCTGTGGGCCCCTCTGCCCTAAATGCCGGCTGTGGACCAGGGACTAAACGTTCCTGTATACGTTTCTAAATGGGGGCGAGTTGAGGACCTCTGAATTCCAGCCCCTCATCCAAGTAAGTCCTAGAGAAGTGACATGAGGAGAGGACTGAATCCCAACTCTGCCTCCTGGGCTGGAGCTTAGAGCTAGGAGGGGATAGGAGAGGAGGTCTGCTCTGTGACTTTTTGTCTCTCTTTACCTCGTCTTCCCGGGGCCTGCCCACGTGCTCCCGCAGCTTCCTGGTGAACATACAGTACCGCCGTCTCTACCAAAGCATGCAGTCCCAGTACCTGAAGCTGCTCACCGCGCAGGTGAGTGGGGGCAGCACCGCTGGGTCCACCAGCAGCCTCAGGACCCTGGAGCAGCCTGATAAGGCGGGGCCCCCTTTAAGTGCCACTCCGGACACAGGAAGCTGAAACTCCAAGAAACGAAGCCCAGTGACTGGCAGGGTCACGATTTGAACGTGGCTTTGTCCCCATCCCATGCTGTTCTCTTGTAGGAGCCTAGGGGGTCTGCGTCAGCCAAGGAGACTTTAGGTTGAGAAGAGCTAGGAGAACGTGTTACAGACATGCAAATGGAGGTCTGGGGTGGGAGAGGGCCTTGTCCAAGGTCATCTAGGAGACCCTGACAGCCGGTCAGGATCCGATTCTGTACAACACAGTGATTAGAGCATGAGCTCTAGGGTCAGATCGCCTATGTGCAAGTTCCTTTACTAGCTGTGTGACCCTGGGCAGGTTTCTCATATCTTGAGACTTGTTTCCCCGCTTGTCAGATGGGGTTAATAATAGTATCTGCCTTCATAGGTGAAGCATTTAGTAGAGCACTGAACATGTAGAAAACAGTCAGAAAATAGTGTTTCCTGCTTTGTGCTATTTCACTGGGCCCCTTGAATTCCCTGCAGGGGTAGGGCTTGAACCAGGAAGGGCTGGGACCTGGGCTCATTCCAGAACCGCCCCCATTCCCTCCCCTGCCCTGCTCCAGAAATACCGGATCCTGCTCTACAACGGAGATGTGGATATGGCCTGCAATTTCATGGGGGATGAGTGGTTTGTGGATTCCCTCAACCAGAAGGTACGGCGCAAGGATCCTAGCTCTGGGCAGGGATGGGACGGCTGTGCCTGGCAGCTAGGCTCTGGGCAGACAGGGCAAACCTGGGGGAGTTCCGGGCCCCTGAGGTCTTCTGGCAGCCATGAGCAGAGATGATGGGGCGGCAGCAGGCTGCTAAGTCTTTCCTGGTGGGGCAGATGGAGGTCCAGCGCCGGCCCTGGTTAGTGGACTACGGGGACAGTGGGGAGCAGATTGCTGGCTTCGTGAAGGAGTTCTCCCACATCGCCTTTCTCACCATCAAGGTAGGGCTTGGGCCTGGCAAGGGCTGGCTTGGCTGGAGGGGATGGGGCAAGACCCACCTGTCCTCCTTCCAGCTCTCTTTACACTGAGTTACCGGGATCCCAACTGGCCCCATAAGAGCAAGTTTTCTGGCGGGTGTGGGAAAAATGCAGTGCGTGGGGCAGGGCTGGGAGAAGAGGAAGGTCACTGGTTGGAGGGATCCAGTAGGATGGAGGACGCACCCACGGGCAGGGGTTACACAAGAAGGTGATCTCAAAGAGCTTTGCTTCTAGGGCGCTGGGCACATGGTCCCCACCGACAAGCCCCAGGCTGCCCTCACCATGTTCTCCCGCTTCCTGAATAAGCAGCCGTACTGATGGAGATCAGTCCCCTTACTGATGGAGACAGCTCCCCTTCTGCCTGATCCAGCCTCTCTTTCCCGCCCCTCCTGCTAGAAGGGAGGTCCTCCTTTATGCAGAATGCTCCTGTGGGGCAGGTCCCTGCCTCCAGAACTGCTTCCCCCTTGCCCCCTCCACAGCCCTCTGCCTCCCAGACCAGGCCCCAGTGCCTCACATAGACAGCCTGGGGGAGTTAGCACTTTATTCCTGACTGGGGTGGGGCCTGGCCCCCTCCCTTCGTGCACTAGAACACAGCAGAGCTCAGGATAGCCCATGGGGAGGGTGGACGGACTGTAATTGGTGGATTGACTGATTATGGAATTAAATTGGGTACAGCTTAAAGCCCTGTCTTCTCTGTGGCACTGGGGGGTTAGACAGGACACTATAGGCTGGGGGGTGGTGCTGGGGGAGGGGACGAGAGGCGTCAGAGTCCTGAATGCCCCTGCCAGGGTGGGCTTGAGGGCTCAGGCAGCTGTCGTGGAGGGTGGTGGGGCACTGGATGCCCAGGGGTCCCTGGTGTCGGCAGGCCGGTTCTTCTCGATCACCTCTCGCAGCCCTTTGGCAAAGTGGAGGTCGGCCCCAATGGTGAGGAAGCCCTGTGCGGTGGGGCAGAGAGGGGAGTCTGTTTATTCCATCACAGACCAAAATTTCAAAATACAGACAAAGTCTTTAGCCTCGAGGGGTTCTCAATTTAGTGGGACAGGAGGAACAGCAAAGAAGTTCTTCTAGCTCCCTGTGAAGGGTGTAAAAGAGAGGCTGCAGGAGCACAGTCTGTGGAGGTCAAGGAGGGCTTCCTAGAGGAGGTGACCTCTTAGCTCAGACGTTCAAGATGAGTAGATATTGGGGGTGGAATCCGGGAAGAGGTTTACAAGGTGACAGCCCAGCTGTGCAGAGGGCTGGAGAACTCTGATGATGGAAGATTAAAATGGGATGGGCCGTCGATAAGGGAGGGGCTGGGGTCAGGTAGCAGAGTTAGGTCGGTGGTGCAGCAGAGGCGGGGAGGCTGTGCCCTCCTCCATCACCGCCCCCTACTCACCGCATGGTTCGTCACCACCTCACGCACAAAGTTGATACCCTCGGGCAGCGGGATCTGCACCCCCCGCCACATCCGCTCTGTGGGTGGGAGCAGGTGGCTCAGCTTGGGTCCACCCAGCTCCCCTCGCCTTTCCCTCTCCTGCCTCCCGACCCCCAGCCCTACCATTGAGCATGGGCATCACCCCAATCTGCAGCATGGTCTTCAGAGGGGCCTGCAGTGGGATCAGCTGGGAGGGAGGAGGCAGGACATTAGGGCAGCCAGCAGGAAGCAGCCTGGCCTTCGCTGCCCGGCCCCGACCCAGCCTCGGCACCCCCGCCACCCCCCAACTCACGGCCAGCGACTCCAGGGCGGACTGGTTCGAGTAGATTCGGAACCTACAGGAGAGAAAGAAGTGTCCAGGGGGCACGAGGCCCGGACGCTCCCCCTCCTCCGGCCACCAGAAGCCCCCGAGTCTCAGCCGCAGATGCCCCCACCTCTACACCTGTCCGGGGGTTCTGCCACTCGCCAGGTGTGCATCCCTGGGAGAGTCCTTTCTTCCTCTTGCAGTTCCTTTTCTCCAAGTTTGCTACTTTTAATTTGTCGACCACTTCTGTACACCAGCCTTGTGTTGGTAGCTTTGCACGTATGGTTTGTGTTTATTTAAGCAACCTTACAGAGCTCGCTCCCTCCCAGATACTAAGCGTGTTACAAAAGTCAAATATTAAGATATTTTAAAATGCCAACTTGACTTCATCCTCCTGACAACCCTAAGAAGGAGGCACTATGAAATTGACTTGCACTTTTTAGATGAGGCAGGTGAAGCCTAGAGAGAGGAAGTAATTGGCCTGCGGGTTCACAGGTGGTAACGGGCAGAAACTGCCTCTAGAATCTAGGCTCTTAACCACGACCCTGCAGTATCTCATTTAACCCCTGGGACAGTGCCGTCCAGTAGAACTTTTACAAAATGTTGCATGTTTGCCCTTGCCATGTAAGAGCCACTAGCTACCTGTGGCTAGCATGGTAGATGCTATTTTTTCTTAGCTCCCCCAGTGGCTATAGGTCTGAGTGGATTTCGCTCCCCAGTTGTTGGGCAGGTGCGATTATCCCGAAGGCACGGAGGCTCAGCGAGGTTAAGCGCTCGCCCGAGATCTTGGCCAGCTGCTTACCGGCGCAGGTCCAGCTGGGTGCGCAGCGCCTTCCCCCGGAGTGCCATCTTGGCGCTGAAACGGGCGTCCTGCGGGCAAGGGGGTTGGGGCAGGGTTACTGACCCACAGAGTCCACAGCACACTGTCCCTGACCCTCCGTAGCCCCTACTCTGGTGCCCGCACCATGGTCATGCTGGATAGCTGGACCTCGGGCTGGTCTGACGGGACCAGGGCGATGGTGACACTGGCAGTGACAGAGACCGTGGTACCCGAGGGCTTGATGGTGCAGCGAGGTGGGGCCAGGACGCGCAGCTCCAGCTTCAGCGGGGAGTCGATCACTGCTGGGCTCTGGGGACAGAGTCGGGAGGGTGGGGGAAGTCCCAGACCTGTTCCCTGATGAGCCCCGGGCGGGGAGATGGGGTGGCTCAGGCTTTGCCTGCTGGGAGCCCAGACACACAAATACGAGGACTGGTGTGGCTTCCCAGACCCTTCAGAACTGTGTCCAGCCTCTGTGCCTTTGCTGACACGAGGGATGGAATGTCTCCTTTTCCTGCTGTCCTGAGTTCTTGGTGGTGGGGGATCGATCCCCAACCAGACTCCTCGGGGACAGTGTTTGCATCAAATATCCCCGCCCTCTGCCATATCGCCCTTCTCTGAACTGCTGTGCTCTTTCTCCTGTAGGCGCTGACCAATACTTCACCTGTGTTAGCTCATTTAAACCTCATCATAACCATGTGAGGCAGGAATTACCGTACTCATCTTTGAGATGGGGAAACCGAGGCACAGAGAAGTTAAGTAACTTGTCCAAGGTTCTGTGGTCCTCCAGGTGCAGAACCTGGGATTCAGAGCCGGGCAGTTTGGCCAGAGAGTCCATGCCCCCACCAACGCTTGGCCATCAGGTTGATGGTGACGATGGGGATGACAGCAGTGGGGACAGCAGCTAGTGTTTCCTGAGCACTTACCCCCACCGGGGGCTGCTCTAATTTCTTTACATGAATTGACTCAGCTAATCCTCACAACAGCCCTGGCAGGTTGTATAGTGTAGCAGAGATTAAGGGCAAGTTCTCTAATGATTACTGAGATACTTTTTAATTTTGACCTTTCACCCCTCTCCCCATGAAACAAGGGAAAATAATAAGCAAAAAGAATACATCAGGGTCACCTGGCTGGCTCAGTCGGTAGAGCATGCGACTCTTAATCTTGAGGGTCATGAGTTCGAGCCGCACGATGGGCATAGAGATTATTTAAAAAACTAACTTAAAAAAAAGAATACATCGGTCATTGTTAAAGTCCCTACACTTAGAGAGCTTGGGTTCTCAGCCTGCCGTCCTCCTAGCTTCATGAAGAAGAGCAGGAGTAGCAAGGGCCCTTCACAGACTTGGAATCGACCTTGACAAATAAGAGGACTTAGCCACAGGCAGGAGGTCAGGCCTTCTGTTTACTCCATGGTGGCCGTGGAGGCTTCTGCCTGCACACCTCACGCGTCCCCTCGCTGGTGTGCAGGCGGTAGGGCCACCCACCCTGGCCACATCCCTACCTCCCACCAACGCTCACCAGCAGGACGATGCTCCCAAAGTAGGTGGCCCTCAGCAGCATGTCCAGATCGTGGGGCACCTGGAGAGGGGAAGGGGGGGATGAGGCAGGGTCATCAGGAGTTCCGGACAGGGCCCCTCTTGCCCATCCCACAGACAGGCCCCGGCATACCTTGTCCCCCACCAGTGACAGCTGCAGGGCCCCCGCCCGGAAGTAGCTCTCCATGGCAGAGTCAAAGAAGAACTCCGAGAAGGCCACGTACACCATCCGCTCCTCCTCCTGCAGTTGGGGCTCTACCGCCCGGTTGGGCAGGCTCCAGTTCCCCTCAGCGAGGGGAAAGAAGGCCCCCTGCAGTTGGGGGATCAGGGTCAGCTTGTGGCCCAGCACCCAGATGTTCCCACACCCGGTGCCAGGCACCATGAGGGATGGTGGGGGTCGGACCCAGCTGCTATCTGGGGGGGGACTCATTAGCACAACTTCTTCTTTTAAGTTGTATTTATTTAAGTAATCTCTCCACCCAACATGGGGCTTGAACTCATGACCCCAAGATTCAGAGTCACATGCTCCACCGACACCCAGCCAGGTGCCCTCGTTAGCACAACTCTTAAAAAGGCATTCAGGGAAAAAAAAAAAAAAAAAAGGCATTCAGGGGCGCCTGCCTGGCTCAGATGGTTAAGTGTCTGCCTTCGGCTCAGGTCATAATTCCCAGGTCCTGGGATCGAGCCCCACGTCGGGCTCCTGGCTCAGCAGGGAGCCTGCTTCTCCCTCTCCCTCTGTCTCCGCCCCCCGCTCATGCTCTCTCTCTATCTCTGTGTCTCAAATGAATAAATAAAATCTTTTAAAAAATTAATTAATTAATTTAAAAAAGAAAAAGGCATTCAAAGGAGGGCAGCTGGAGTTCTGCAAGGGAGCACTTCCATCAGACCAGAGAAGGGACGCCCAGGAAAGGGCTGGGGAGGAGGAGGCATGGTGGGCCTTGAAAGATACAGAGCAGGGGGGCGCCTGGGTGGCTCAGTCGTTAAGCGTCTGCCTTCAGCTCAGGTCATGATCCCAGGGTCCTGGGATCGAGCCCCGCATCGGGCTCCCTGCTCGGCGGGAAGCCTGCTTCTCCCTCTCCCACTCCCCCTGCTTGTGTTCCCTCTCTCACTGTCTCTCTCTGTCAAATAAATAAAATCTTTAAAAAAAAAAAAAAAGAAAGATACAGAGCAGGAATGATAAAAGCTGCAGTTTACGTTGACACAGAGTACGTGCGTAGAGCTGTACATCCAGCTGCTCCAGGGGAGACGGGGAAGGGCAGTGCGTGAGCAAAGGCCCTGAGGTAGGAAGTGAGGGCATATTTGGGCAAGAATGAGTGCCGAGAAACAGGGTGAGGTTAGAAAGGTGGGGCCAGACAAGGTTAACCAGGCTCAGAAGCCAGACCCAGGAGTTGAACGTAATTCTGCAGGCAGGCACGCTCAGCAGTGGAGTGGCCTCATCGGAGCTGTGCCTTCGGGGGACAAAACGAGCAGCACAGGACGAGGAGGTCTGGTTAGGTCAGAGACGCCCCACCAGCCAGGCAGCTCACCCGGAAGACCATGTCCAGACTGCTGTCGGACGCTACAGGATCCTTCAGGAGGGAGTAGTCGATGCCAACCAGCTCATCCACAGAGCTGCGAACTGCGGGAAGGAGCTCGGTCACTCCAGCTGTGTGATGCTGGGCCAGGTGCTCACCCTTCTGGGCCTGTTTCTCACCCACAAAGCGGTGATTATAAATCTTCCCTCACAGGGTTGTTGTGGGGATCAAATTAGTTTTACGCGGGAAGTACTTAGTGCTCAGTAGTATTAATGCTGACTGCTACCACCACCATCATCGGCCAATACAAGGGTTTCCTCAGATCGCCGACCAAGATGCCAAGGGAGTCCCTTCCCTCGTTCTCCCCGGCCCCTCCCTCCCTCCCCATGCTCTGTGTGGGGCCTGATGATCTCTACCCCCCAGCAGACAGAGCTCACAGTTTAGGAAAAGGGAATTCATGTTAGTTGAGCACCATGAAGTGGAGAGGATGAATACAAACAGGGTCCCAGTGATCAGCAAGCCCCTATCGAGGACCTTGACAGTCATCACTGAGTTAATTCTCACAACCCCCACAAGGAGGCATCACCAGCCAAGCGAAGATACCAAGGCCCAGAGAGGAGTACTTACCTAGGGTCCCATGGCCAGTCAGTAGCAGAGGCCATATTTGAAGCCAGGGCATGGCAGGGGCCCACCCTGAGGTACACCCAGCCCCCTCCTCAGCCCCGTTCCAGTCCCAGGCATGGCCCGGAGCTCCCCTCCCAGCCAGCGCCAACTCACCAGGCACTGTGTCCAGGAGGGAATTGAGGAGCACCATCCCTGCGTGGTAAAGCACGGGGCAGATCTGCGAGGTGGGGTCTAGAGTCAGGGCCTTCCAAAGAGAGGGCACCCCCACACACACTTCTGCTGTACCTGCTGGTTGAGGAGGAAGCGCATCCCCGAGGTGATGAATGTGGAGAGGAACTCATATACCTTCCTGCAAGGAGGGGAGAGACCACGTGAGCCCAGACTCTGCCCTACCCCAATCCAGATCCAGGAGAAATCAGTGGCCAGAGAGATGGGGAGGAGGTGGCTCAACTTTGACCTGTATTACCGGCTCTTTAATGGAGGTTTTCCAAATCCCCTCGCTAGCCTGATTCTCAAGACCTCTCCTAACCTCTGCCCCCCACCAGCCTAATGAATTTGCCCCCAGTTCTTCAAACCTGCTGTACGCGTCCCCACCTCCAGATGCTTACTCATGCCCTCCCTTCCACCCTCAGAGTCCCTGTCCTGTGTTTCCCTCTGTATGGGCTCAGATGCTTCCTCTTCCAGGCAGCCTTCCCAGATTGCCCTCTTCTGAACCCCTGGAGTACTCTCAGTTCCTCTCTCAAAGCCCCGATGACAAATGTTTTGTCCCTTCAACCAGGCTCTGAGTTCCTTTATGAATCCTCAGGGACTGGCATATACTTTATTTGTTCAGTAAATAAAAACTTGACAGTATACTGACACCAGATGATAAATCCACCATCTTTTCTCTCCCACTCTCTTTGAGAGCTATCACAAAGTCCCCTTCTCAGGCCAAAACCTGAAATGATGCTATTGTTTTTATTAGTAGTAGTAAGAGCTACCAATTATTGAGAACTCAGTTCATGCCCACCTACGCATACTGACCCTCACAATTACTCTTATCCAGGAAGCTAGCCACTAATATGCCAGGTACTGTTCTAAATATTTTTACATATATTAACAAATAGTCTTTGCAACACCTTATAAAATAGTTGCTATTATCATCCTCATCTTACCAAGGAGGAAACTGAGGCACAGAGCTTCAATGACTTGCCCAAGGTCACAGAGCAGGGAAATGAGAGTTGCTGAGCGTTGGACCCAGTTGGCCTGGCTCCCAAGCCTGTGCACTTTGCATTGCACCCGGCAAACGGCAGTGAGGCTCAAATGGGGCTTACTTGAAGGTTCCCCCGAAGGCCGCGTGCATTCTGGAGACCGAGGCCTGGCAGGAGACGTTGGACACCTTGATACGGCCAGTGGCATCCCGGGAGAGCTGCAGAGCAGTGCGGATGGACACACCCTCGGCAGAGGCATTGATATAGCCCCCATCATAGCTGCAAGGGGGTGGGGGGCAGTCAATGTCCAGCTTGGAGCTTAACCACGTCTTTGCCACCCACCCCATAAGTCATACCTCTTAATAAGACTTCGCTTCTACCAAACCCTATCAACCCTTATGAAGTGGCTATGCTTGTCCCTACTGTACAGATGAAGAAACTGAGACCCAGGAAGGCTAAAGGACTGCCCACAGCCCCACGGCATCCCAGCCCTCCTGATCCACCCTGCACTCCCCTGAGGGTGCCAGGTCCTCACAAGAACCAGTAGAGAAGCTGCCTCCGGAAGCGCAGCCCCAAGGACGCGTTGCTGATTTGTAGCACCAGCTCCTGCTCCGGCTGGAAATGGAGCTCAGAGGATGTCAGCTGCAGCTCTGTGACCTTCACCCTGCAGGAAGCCTCCGGGTCAGCTTCAGGGCCACGAAGAGGGAGTCCACCCAGCCACAGGAAACTCATTCCCTCCTCTTCCAGTCCAGACCTGGGGAAGCTGAGCTGGGTGGAATGAATTCTTCCACTTTCCCTCAAGTGCCCAGCCTGGACTTGGACAGCTCAGAGATGAGCTTCACCCCTTCTTTAGATGCCTTACTGCTTGCACTCCCTTCCCTCCCACACCCTGTGGTTGCTTGACCTGGACCTGGTCTTTTAGCCGAATCCTTTGATTTTGTCTCCATCAGCTGAGCTACAGATCCCATTTCTCCTATCCCCACCGACCCAAGGAAGGTTCTTGTCTCCTGTTTCCGGGACCTCTCCCATGAACTGCACCCCGGCCGCTAGACCCCACTCTCACCCATTGGCAAGTTTCGTGATTCCCCGTCTCCGGTGCCCTTTGGCCACGCCTTAGCCCCCAAGGCTTCTGCTTGCCGTTCTTGGTCCCGCCTATGTTGGCTGGCTTGGCCTTTATCTTCTCCGCCCCATCCTGTTCCTTGAGTCCCGCCTCCTCGGTGTGGCCACGCCCCTACCCCTACTCAGTTTCCCCGGCCCTAGGCCCCGCCCCGGGAGCCCGAGACCCCGCCCCACGGATCCACTACTTACTCCGAGATGTTGTAGTAGAAGTGGCCCTCCCGGCCCCGCAGGTCCGGAATGGTGATGGTCTCCAGCTCTTGTTCCAGAAAGCGCAAGCCCTCCTGCTTCACTGAGGCAGCAGCGAGACCCTTAGGTCCTGCAGCTGGAGCGACCCCTCCCTCATCGGCCCTCACCCGGCCCCGCGCCTTACCCAGCTCCAGCGCCTGGGAGGTGACGCGGGTCTTGCAGCCGGGGAGCTCCGCATGAGCGCCTGCCAGAAGCGCTAGGAGGAGGGCCCCAAAGAGGGCCATGGCGAGCGGGCCTGGGGTGGGGTGGGGTCGCTGGAGTAATCAGGGCCGCTAAAACCCACTCCCCGGTTGTCCAACCAGAGGAGGGACTGGCCGGATCGTTACCCTCGAAAGAGCTCTTCGGAGAACTTGGAACCAATGATATTGCCTCCATTTGGCAGATGCGGAAACTGAGGCTCAGAGAGGCGACGCGACTCGCGCTCTAGCTCCCAGAGGATCTGGGGCACGGGGGAAGGGGAGGGGACATTCTCGGTCCCCCCGTGCACCCGCCGCGTGAAGAGTTTGACCCCTCGGGGACCAACGCCCCCCGCCCCCACCACCTCCCCTTTCCTTTAGCAGAGGGCGGGCGCGGCTTGCCTGTTACCATGGAAACGGCTGCACGCGCATTCCTGCGGGGTGGCTTGCGGTCTCCCAGGCCCCGCGCCGGGGGGGGGGGGGGGGGGGGGCGTACATGGAGCTGCCGGCCCGACCTCGTGCTCCCGGGTCTCCCGGCTCTGCCGGGTCCTAAATCCCTGCCATCGGCATTTGGCCTGGTATCCCCCCCGCCTCAAATCAGCGCCCTCCTTAATGGGATCTCTTCCCCACCCCGGGTTCAGTAGACCACGCGGCTCAGCGAGGGCCTGAGGGTGGATGGGGACGCCCCCCAACTCACTGCGGCGGAGCTGGGGGTCGGTGCGGTCACGTGGGGCGGCGGGCTGCGCAGGGGATCCGGGCGGCGGGGTCTGGCGGGCTGTGCTGGTCCAGCCGCCTTTATAATGCCGGGCCTCTCCGACCCCCCCCCTCCTGGCTCCCGCTCTCCCCTCCTCCCTCGGGGGTTGGGAGGGGACGGGGCGGACCGCTGGCAGCCGGGAGGGTGAAGAGGGCTGTACGGAGCCCCGTGACAGGCCCGGCTGCTGTCAAGACAAGTGGGGGACCCAAGCCGGGAAGGAGGGAGGGAAGTGCAGGAGTTGGCCCGCCCAACCCCAACAGTCCTTGCTTCTCTGGGACCTCGGTTCAAATTCCAAATGCCCATGTCTTCCTCTATGACCCTGAGCAAGTCACTTCACTTGGGGCACCGTGCCTCAGTTTCTTCATCCAGCGAAATGTGTGGGATACTTGGGACCACCCGCAAAATCAATGCCCAAGACACATTATCTTCCTTCCTTTCCACCCACAATCAGCAAGACTTCTCCTTGCCAGGCTTCACCAGGGGAACCCCCCCAAATGTCTCTATGTCACTACCTAGGGACATAACAGGCCCAGAGACTTCTCCCACTGGGGTCCAAGCAAGTGCTGCCTGCCCAGGTGGGCAGGGCACAGGCTGCTGGAATCACCCCAGAGGGAGGTTGGGTGTTTCCCAGGGACTGTGGATTTTGTGTGTGTGTGTGTGTGTACCTTTGGAGCTAGGTTCTCGGCACAGAATCTCCATCTACTGCCTGCAGGGTGTTCCCAGCTCCTGGCACCTGCAGAGTAGGTGCTTGCTACCTTTTTTGTTGTCCGATGGAGGAAAGATGAAAGGAAAAGCGATAAAGGTGAGTGTCCACTGAACATGTATGTAGCACCAAGCACTCATCCGGGTAGGAATACCAACAGGTCCTGATTTGCCCAGGATCTTCCTAGCTTTGAAACTGAACATCTTCCTTCCAGGAAACCCCCTCGGTCCCAGGCAAACCAGGATGGTTAGTCATCCTAGATCTAGACTAACTTATTTAATCTTCTTAACCTATGAGGTTGGCACTAACATAGACCCACCCTAGCAGGAAACCAGAGGGAAAGACCACCATGCAGCTACTACTGGAAAACCCATGAACTGTGCAAGGGTGGGAGACAGTGTTTATAGCCCAGTAATTAGTGCTTAGATTCTTGAGTCTGACAGACCAGGATTCACATTCTAGGAATTTGTCCAATTCTTGGACCCCTTACTTAGTTTCCTCTTCCTAAAACAGAAACAATAGGTTGTTGTTGCAAGAATAAATTAAAAGTGCCTAGTGCATGTGCTGAACACAGTACGTGGCACACCATCAGTGCCAAATAAATGCTGGCTATTAAGATTAGGGGTACACACCACAAGCACATGAGACAGAAAGGGTGTAGAAGAGGAAGGAAGAAAGAGCTAAGGATATCCAGAGGAGGAAGTGCCTTCGTGCTTTGAACTCTAGTAGCCTTCATTCTTCCTGGAGCCTGGCTCAAGCAGAAAACCTGGCAGATGTTAGTTTTTTTCTTCTCACTTTCCTTTTTTTTTAAGATATTATTTATTTATCTGACAGAGAGAGAGAGCACAAGCAGGGGGAGTGGCAGGCAGAGGGAGAGGGAGAAGTAGGCTCCCAGCTGAGCAGGGAGCCTAATGTGGGGCTCTTGGGGCTCCATCCCAGGACGCTGGGATCATGACCTGAGCCGAAGGCAGATGCTTAACCGACTGAGCCCCCCAGGCGCCCCCTCTTCTCACTTTCTTACTGAAATGCAAGCTCAGTCTTTGTATCACTGGGATCTCCTGTGGGAGATTCTTGTCTCCTGCATGTCACTGTCCCCACAGCAGCCCCAGTGAGCTTTAAATGTAGCTACGTGACCTTGGGCCAGTGGTCTAACCTCTCTGGGCCTGTTTCCACATCTGGATTGCTCGTGAGGATTAAAAGCGTTAATGCCTTTAAAGGACTTGATAAGCACCTGGCACGTAGTAAGGGCTCAAAAAACGTCAGCTACAGTCATCAGCATCCTTTGCCAGCATCTAGTGGTTTTCGATGACACTCAGAATAAACTCCTGCCTCCGTGCCCTGACTTCCAGGCACGTGACACGTGCACCCCTGTCTTGTCACCCACCCTCTGTCACCCTCCTTTGCTCTGGCTACACTGGCTTTTGCCCTTGCTGTTCCCTCGGCTTGGAATGCTTTTCCACCTGATCTTCCCACAGCTAGCTCCTCGTCATGCTGGTCTCGGCTTCAATGGCACTTCCTCAGAGAAGACTTCCCTGCCTACCTAGCAGTTACTCTCAATCCCATCAGCCTGGCTTATTTGCTTTATAGACCTTGTGACTATTTAATATTGGTTTGCCAAACTATTGGTTAATGGAGACATGGTCTGTCTCCGTGAGAGCTGGGATCTGGTTCCCCACTTGTTCCCAGTACCTAGAACAGTGCCTGCACTGAGGAGGTCCTGCCTATTTGCCGAGCCCTCAGATGTGTTTGGGGGGCAGGTGATACCTATGTGCCCTGGATTCTTTAGCAACTCCTGCGCCTCGTTTGTCTCAGCCTGACTGACTCTAAACCCAGCCCTGGGCTGGGGGACAACATGTACTCACTGGCCTTGAATCCAGGGACTTGCCCTGTCAGCCCGATCCCCTCCATCACATGGGTTTCCCCTTTCTCCCAAAAGCTTGTGCCCCCAACGCGCACACTTCAGTGATCTTGGCAGATGGGCAGCCCAGGAAGGTCTTTGGCAACCTCCCCGATTCCTCAACACTTGACTTGAGGGATGCAGAGATCAGAAGGCCCAAATCCCTTTCCACTTTCACTCCTGTCTTTGAAGAGGGAAGGAGGGACTTCCCAGCACTCAAAGGGACAAGAAAGAAATGCTTTTCTAGCCTCTACTGTGCACCCAGCACAGCGATATTGTTAAACCACGAGGAGAGCAAAGCATTAATTAAGCGCTTTGGAATCAGACAGACCTGGTTCAAATCCTGCTTCTGTCATTTTCTAGAGCAGAGGTCAGAAAGCTGTTCCTGTAAAAGGTCAGATAAGATAGTACATATTTTAGGCTTTGCTGGCTCTGTGGTCTCTGTCACAGCTGTTCAAACTCTGCCATTGCAGCTATAAACTAGACTTACATGAACAGACCCCTCGCTGGATTTGGCCCATGGGCTGTAGTTTGCAAATCCCTGTTCTAGAGTAAATTAAAAATTAAGTCTCTTTAAGAGCCTCAGTTTCCATATCTGTAAGTTGGGGATGATCTAGTACCTGATAACCTCTCCGGGTGGTGGTGAGATTTTAAATAAAGTATATAAAGTGCTGGGGCACCTGGGTGGCTCAGTCGGTTACTGACTCGTGATTTCAGCTCAGGTCATGATCTCGGGGTCCTGAGATCGAGCCCTACATCTGGCTCCTCGCTCAGTGGGAAGGATTCTCTCTTTCTCCCTCTGCCCCTCCCCCAACTCACTCTCTCTGTAAAATAAATAAATAAATCTTTTTTATTTTATTTATTTATTTTTAAAGATTTTATTTATTTATTTGACAGAGACAGAGACAGCGAGAGCAGGAACACAAGCAAGGGGAGTGGGAGAGGGAGAAGCAGGCTCCCCGCAGAGCAGGGAGCCCGATGCAGGACCCGATCCCAGGACTCTGGGATCATGACCTGAGCCGAAGGCAGTCGCTTAACCGACTGAGCCACCCAGGCGCCCCAATAAATCTTTTTTAAATAAAGTAAATGGGGCACCTGGGTGGCTCAGTCGGTTAAGCATCTGACTTCGGCTCAGGTCATGATCTCAGGGTCCTGGGATCAAGCCCCTCGTCAGGCTCCCCACTGGGTCGAGAGGTTTGCTTGTCCCTCTGCCTCTCCCTGGCTCTGCTCTCTCTCTCTCAAATTAAAAAAAAAAAAAAAATCTTAAAAAAAAAGTATATAAAGGGTGCCTGGGTGGCTCAGTTGGTTAAGCAACTGCCTTCAGCTCAGGTCGTGATCCTGGAGTCCCGGGATCGAGTCCCATGTCAGGCTCCCTGCTCAGCAGGGAGTCTGCTTCTCCCTCTGACCTTCCCCCTCTCATGTGCTCTCTCTCTCTCTCTCATTCTCGCTCTCTCAAATAAATAAATAAATAAAATCTTTAAAAAAAAAGTATATAAAGTGCTGAACCTAGTACTTGGTACACTAAAGGGCTCAATAAATGTCTCTGGTCATTGGTATTAACTAGTTGTTTAACATACAAAAAGTGCTTTCCAGATATTAACTCACTTAAAACTCATAACATCCTGTAAGACAGGTATCATCATCCCATTTTACAGATGAGGAAATAGAGACCCGGAGAGGTTAAGGAACTAGCTCAAGTCAGCCTGGCTCCAGAGCCCTTGCTCTTAACCACTCCACTCACTTGCGTCTCTTTTTAAATGACCCCGTTTAATCCTCACAGCGATTCCTTGAGATAGCTGTCATTGCCCCTGTTTTGCAGACTGGCAGACTGAGGTACAGCGGCAGGAAGTAACTGGTCCAAGTAAGTAAACACAGGCTCCACTCACCACAGGACACCAAGTTGGATTTCTGCCCAAGATGTCAACATGTGTAGCCTGACTTCCCCCCACCCCCCCATCACCAGCTGTGTTTTCTTTGGATCCTTGCATGGCTTGGAGAAGCTGCGTCAGCCCATCTCCCCTCCTGACCATTCTCCCGCCCCCGCCCCCGCCCCCACCCCCCAAGCGCATCCAAGCTACCCCCCAGGAAGTGAACCCCCTCCTTCTCCCTGCAGCGTATGGACAGGCCTGTGTCGGTCTGTGGGTGTGCCTGGGAATGTGCGACAGGGGGCGGGGTTGGAATGAGGGAAGAGGTATGTGTAGGGGGCAGATGTTCAACCAGGAGACTCTGATTACATCTCCCCAAACAAGCAGAATGACGGCGCATGGTGGGAGCCAGACATTTACCAAATGGAGATAAGAGAAACACAGGACTGGGGCTTTCTGAGTTCAGCCAGGACAGAGCTGCTGACTGCTTTTCTGTGGCTTCTAAAGCTTGGACACTTGGCCTTTTGGTTTTTCCTTTTCTTTCCCATTTTCTCCTTGAAGACCAGTTCTTTTTTCTGTGGATGGAGCCGGCCACCTGGCCCCCAACCTTCGTCCAGGTTTCAAAGTCAAGCACTC